GCAGACTACAGCGCCACTTACAGGCCTGGCATATGTACTACAGCATCTCCAGCGCTTTCGAGCGGCAATGGCCGGCCGTGGCCCAACCCCACATTCCCCTGATAGGTGGAGAGTTGGCCCAATAGCTGTAGCGCCACCGTCCTGACGTCAGGACAGTGTTCAAATCTGGATCAGTTTTTATCAGATCCGTTGCAGCCCCTTTTTTAGAGATTTGGGTATGGAGGAAAATAGAGAGGGTTGTGTTTTCTGACACTTGGTGAGTTCCCTGGAACACCGGGGACACATATTCGAGTGATTCTACAATTTAGGGTACATTCCATGTCCATTGATGATAATTATAATTATTCTAACTATTTTCTTCAAAAATATCATGTTTTGCCTATTATTGGAAAGCATGTTATAATATCACACAAACATTATGTGCATCCTATGCTTTATTTAGCTTGAAATGTGTCATGATGTTCTTAAATTGTCAGTTTTTGCTATGTCCGTTTTTCAGTTGAGGGTGTCTTGGTTTCAAAATAATGAATAAAAACCATTAAAGTAAATTAAAAAAAGTATTCATTTATTTCAAAAGTCTAAATACTAAAGAATAATAAAATATTCTTAATTGATTTCCTCCTTTAAATAATTTAAATATCTTAATATATGAATGTCCGCAAAAGTTCTGTCAACTATGTTACTAACAGAACTCCCCCCTTTAACTCAAAAATGGTTTGTCCCAATAACATATCACCAGCATCACATGATGCCATGTTCCTCTTTGGCAGACATTTTGAACACACTGTGGTGATTGTCCTCTAATTTTTTACAATATTTTATGTATAATAGCACATTGTCAATGAGTATATTAATTGACCATCAACAATGTTACGTACATTGTTATGGTTTACAATTGTTTAATGATTTTAATTCAATTATATGTTCAAATGTGATGTTAACCTGTTCAAGAAAATGACATGTGGTCATCCAGGCAAGGCCTACCATTGAAATGATGGGTCAAAATAGGGAAATTGTCAACTAGGTTACCTGTCAACTAAGTTACCCAGTACTGTAATAACTATAGTAACTTAGTTGACAGGTAACCTAGTTGACAATTTGTATGACATGACATTTGTCATTACACATCATTATCAATGGAATTTTGCACTTCTGCCTTGAAATGAACAGAGTGCTGATGGTTAATAATGTGTCCAGTCAACTATGTTATTTGCGTCAAATGTTTGACTTTCATTGTCAACTATGTTGCACCTCATTTTTTCAAATTTAAAATATCTAAAATAGTGCTTCTGATATCCTTTATAGTATAATGTATATCTACACAGGTTGGAGTTTTACATGACATCTCTTAAAACTATCAAAATGACCTGTATGGTAGTTTTATAATACAAAATATCCCTAAACTTAATGACAGTGCTGAACATATCACATGAAAAAACAAAACTTTAATACAATTATTTTTTAAACTTTAAAAAATCTTTGGATATATGGTAGAATAGACTCAAGAGCCTTTCAAATTTGATTTTACTTGAAGTGCAGGACTTAATCAAATTATTGTAATGACATCAAGTTTGTCCGTAACATAGTTGACAAACTGAGTAGTGAAAACATCCTTTCCCTTAAAATAAAATAAAATAAAAAAATGTTTAAGCTTTGCAACTAGTGGATATGTTACACTGAGGAATATACTAACTTGAACCACTGATTGTTCTATTGAGAAAGAACACTTTCTTTGTACTGTTTAGTTGATGTGAAATGCACCCTAAATTATAGAATCAGTCATTCATGTATGATGTACACAAGTGCATTTTGCATGATAAGTCCCCTTTAAGTTAAAAGAGAAGCCTTATTATGTTGTTTTGTTTTCATATAACTAGGGATGGTTATCGTTAAGGTTTTAACGGTACTACTACTTTTATCGATACCGCTTATCGATCCGGTCCTTTAACGGTAAAAAAACAAGGTAAATTAATTAAACAAATTGTAAATAATGTGAACTTATAGAACTTTAAAAAACAAACAAAAAACAAGTATTTACTGCATAAATACAGTGGTACAGAGCAACACAGGTGGGGCATACAGGTATGCTGCAAAAGGCCTAACGGTTCTTCTGGAGGAAGATTAAGGTATACATAACATACGTGACGTGGAAACGTTACTCGTGGATGGGGCTACAGAGCAACTAGAAAGACAGTCGAAAACGGTGCATTTCTCCGTCTGAATGTGGTGCACTTTTGCAAGATGTTTAGACAAATTGCTCGTGTTACCGCCCTTAAATGCTAAACTCTTATTGCCCTTTTGGCAACGAGCATTGTCCACATCGAGACGGGTAAAGTTTAACCACACCTTGGAGCGCTTAGTTCTCTCCGCCATCTCCGCCGTGTGTGTTGCATGCAAGGTTTTTAGGCCTTTCTTAAAGGAGTCAGTGGTCTGTGGAGTCCTCAGGTGGTCTGGGAGGATTCCACAGGTGAGGAGCAACTGCACAGAAAGTTTTTTATTAAATAATATTGGGCAAAAGTAACTTTGACACATTCACCAGAATATGCTCTGCCGCTCTGACAGTGAGCTCTGCTCTGAATATACGAGCGGCACGTTCCAACCTCTATATATACAGTCTGGTACCCACCGTAACAACAGCACTCGGCGTTCACCAACGGTCCAGTCCAAAATATTCAACTTTTTCTGCATTTTCAGCCAAATTCAGCAACAAATGTGCGCAGCTTACAGCATTCACCTGCATTTTCAGCAGGAAATGCATTTTCTAGTTCTTTTTCAAATTGATTTATTTTGACCTTTTTTAGTTTATTATAGAAAAAGATTGAGGGCAACCGTTTGACGAGACAAAACACAAAATAAACTAAACGCATTTCTCTTCAATTACTTTATTTATGTATAAAAAAAAAGAAATCTATTAAAAAAAACATAATGCTAAATGAAACATTTAGCATTGCGATTTTGATAACTTTTCATCCCCCAGGTCTCGAGACGCTACCCGTCGAATTTGGAGTTGATCGGATAAAATCCCTAGGAGAGACACAAAGTGGCGGCGCCAGAGATTTTCTTTTGGGTGTGCTGTGGGGTAGCTTGACGTTTCATAGAGGGTGCTCAAACATTTAGGGTTTCCCATTAAGGTACCGGTCGCTAGTTGAATTTTCTAATGCAACATTCCCCACACGCACATACACAGTATATCCGCAACAGTTACAATGAAGGCTCGATAATCAGCTCACGGCATATAGTTGTAAGCAGGGGTGTAATGCTATTTTATAAAAGGGGGGTGGACCTAGCATCCTCTAGGGGGGTCCGGGGGCATGCTCCCCCAGGAAGATTTATTTTTTTTAATATTGAAGTTAAATGCATCAATCTGGTGCACTTTGAGAGCAACATTAGGAGATCTATGGATACATCTCTCAACACCATATGAAACAGAACTGTAAGCAGATTTTCTTTTTCTTTATGGATATTTTACAAATCACTCCCCTTTTAAACTTTATTCTTGTTTTACTGTCATATAGTATTTCATACCTTATGTATAACTATAATGATCATATAAAGGTGTGCCTCGGACGTACATAAATCATGACCAAACAGTTTGAGACCCACTGAGATAACTTAGACTAAAGTTAACTATCTAAACCCTCAGAGTCCTTTACTGAGCTGAGGTTATCAGCCTCTCAGTCTGACAGGAGAGAACTCTCCTCCGCCTTGTTGTAGAAACAGCTCCTTATATCCGTTAGTGCAGCTAGCTAACCAGATGCTAACAACAACAATCCCCGGTACCGGTGCGCTCTCTCTCTCGCGCATTCACACAAAATGCGCTTGTGCCACACACACACACAGAGCCGAGCTTGACTGAAACACAGAGACCCAGAAGTACTTGTACTGTAGCATATTATTTTCGAATCAATAATCTTTCAAATTATGAATTTCACACGTAAAAAGAAAAAGACACATACATTTCTTGAGGGTGCTTAGGGGGTGCTATGGCTATCCTAGGGGGAGCTGCAGCACCCCCTAGCGCCCCCCTGGCGCCGCCAATTGGGACACACACACATACACACACAGCTATACACACACACAGCTACACATAGACAGCTAAATGCATACACAGACACACACACATAGCTACTGTACACACACACTCACACAGCTACACACACACAGATACACGCACACAAACAGCTACACGTGCACACACACACATTTGCCCTCTGCACCTGGGCCTGTCATATTCATCTAATATGAGCAGATGAATATGACGCATAGCAACAGCAGTTTTTTTACTGTAAATATTAACTATTTCGATTGGAGGGGGAAAAAAAGGAAGAGACCTCTGATTGGTCGCTCAGTTTTGGGAGATTTGATATATATATATATATATATATATATATATAACATGGGGGACACACATGCGCACAAATTGTGTGACAAATTCATTATTGATATCGATAGGATTATTATTAGGGTCTGAGACCAGAGGTCAGCGAAGACCCTATTGTCAAACACACACAAAACAGGGAAACAGACGGGCAAAAGCACAGAAAAAGGGACCAAAATCAGGACAGTAGGTAGCCTACAGTGACGTGGGCTAGTCACTACATTATTGATATCGAAAGGATTATTATTATTATAATTTGTATTTTCCCACTTTTAACGGATATTTGACCCCGTGAACCAGTGGTCGCGTTAACCGAATATTTTCCGTCTATGATAGTTCACGAGCGTGCTCTCCAATTTTGCATGGTTGCTGTGGTCGCTGTGCGAGCGATTAAGTTGATCCTATGGATATAAATCATGCGACTTGTAGTGTCACTAGGCTCGCGCGGGCTATCTGCCATCATGATTTCGGAACCTTTTTCTGTGCTTTTGCCGGTCGCTTTCCCTGTGTTGTGTGTTTAGCAGCGATTACAATAGGGTCTTTGCCGACCTCTGGTCTCAGACCCTAATGAGAATTAAAAAAAAGAATGAAAGAAAATTCAGACAGCACGTCTACCTTTAGTATACGTATAAATCTTTAATTTAAAATGTTTTGTAACATTGTAATCCTGCTGGTAATCCCTGTGTTTAAAGAATGTAACAGTAATCGGATTTCTTACTTTTTAATGTAATTGTAATCGAATACAGTTACCTTTTTTTTGTATCCTGATTATGTAATCTCTTATAATTTACATCACAGACGCTACATCCAAGTCTACAGAACCACCCTCGGAGTCTGCTAGGTCCGATGGTTTGGTTTGGTTTGGTAGCTCTTGTGGTTGGACAGTGGCTGGATGGGGGACTGTGAAGGTTCCAACAGCTCCAGTGATTCAGTGCTGGACCGGCCTGAAGCAGTGGGTGTAACAGCTCTGCTTATTGCTGTGCTTTTCTCTCAGACTCTGACGGCTCTGAGGTTTGCTGAGGCTGGTTCAGGTTCTCTGACGGTTCTGAGGTTTGCTGAGGCTGGTTCTGGTTCTCTGAGTGTTCCAATGTTTGTAGAGAATGGTTTTGGTTATTTGATGTTTGCTGAGACTGGCTGTGGTTCTCTGCTGGTTCTGGTTTGCGGCAGTGTGAGTCCAGCAGCAGCTGTCTCTGCAGCTCCTCTGCACTGTGGGCCAACATGAGGCTCACCTTCCTCTGGTGGGCCAGAGCCTCCTCCTTGTCATTCAGCTGCAGCAGGAGATAATAAAAAGATGAGGGTGAACACTGAGGCAGGAATGATGTTCCTGTTTAATGTCTAAGAACAGTTACTGACACACTTCAGGTAGCGGTGCAGTTTATTCTACCAGGACGCACCACAGAGCGCCATGAGAAAGACTTCCTGTCTGTGGCCATCAAACATAATACAACACTGTATGTATTGTAATATACATTTTATATACACTGTAGTACGATCTGATCATTTTTACTTGAACTTGTTGTGTTTATGTAAATATTTGTACTTTATTTGAAACTTTACTTATTCTTTTTGTGTATATATATATATATATATATGTGTGTGTGTATATATATATAGTCACAAAACCCAATGTCCCTTGGGATAAATGAAGTACTCTGAATCTGATGATTCTGAATAGGACATACTATCAGCCGAATTAAGAATGAGCATGGATGCAAATGATTAAAATATAACCAATGGCTTTCTTTTCATAATTTGTTTGGAGGAAAACACTTCATACTGATGACACTCACTCCACCACAACAAACAGTTTGCTTGGAGTTTTGTTTAAGGTCTCTGTCGATATATGCACTCTCCCTCAGTGTTCCTAATTTCATATTTGTTCCTTGATTTATATTCAACATTCCCAAAGGAAATTGAAACTCCATATTTCCCCAAAACTGCTGCTACACTTTATCTCAGTTTTTGTATTTATCACAGAATGTATTTCTCCTCTTAAAATAAAGATATTTAATAAAGCACAGATCATCACAAGATGGTACTTTTATTTGTTCTCTATTCTTTTTTTTGTGAATGGAGGAATACCTTTTATTCAGAGGACACCTCTTTTTGGGGGGGGGGGGGGGGGGGGGGGGGGGGTTAGGACAGGGTTTGAAATTCCTGTATTCTATAGTATATTTTGTTTGTTTATAGATTTATTTTTACATTTTAACACAAGATTTAACTATTTTCCTACTATTTTATTTACTAGTGTGCTTCAAACGAAAGACTTGTTAGCAAAGTGTATCACGATTTTTGTAAAATCCTAAAACAGACGCAGGGATTGGTCATGCTTCAGTTTTCTCTAATTCTAAAACTCCATATTTTCATTCATTCATTCAACTACTTGTCACGTTCAGAGTGAAGAACCGAGTGCAACACAATAAACGGCAGAGGAGACACTGTCTGAAAGTGTGTGCTTGTATTGTACAATATATATAGTGTTTTCCAAGACTCAAATTAGGTTGAGGAGTTAGCATAGGAACAGCGGCTGTTAACAAGCGCTCCTCTCTATGATAATAATAATAATACATTTTATTTGTAAAGCACCTTTCATCGCCAAAAAGTAATCCCAAAGTGCTACAAGGGGCGCAATAGAAAAAAGAAACAAAAGTTTAATCAAAGGCTTTTTTTAAAAGAAAAGTTTGTAGGCCTTTCTTAAAGGAGTCAGTGGTCTGTGGAGTCCTCAGGTGCTCTGGGAGGGAATTCCACAGGTGAGGAGCAGCTGCACAGAAAGCCCGATCCCCCATGGGGTGCAGTTTGGTCCTGGGGGGGCGAAGCAGATGGTTGGTTGTGGAACGGAGGTTGCGTGTGGAGGTTTGTGATGAGAGTAGTTATTTGAGATATGAAGGAGCGTTCCCGTGGATGCACTGATGGGTGAGCAGTGAGATCTTGTATTCAATCCTGAATGAGACAGGAAGCCAGTGAAGAACAGGTGTGATGTGATTGTACTTTCTCACCCTCATCAGGATCCTAGCGACACTGTTCTGTATGTATTGGAGCTTTTGAAGGCTCCCGCTAGGAGTCCCGATGAGGAGAGCGTTGCAATAGTCAAGCCTTGTAGTCAAGCCTTGAGGAGACTATGAGCACAATTGTCTCCTCTGCCTCCACCTGTGCTAATTCAGAACAGTAGGGAACACTCCTGCCTGTACACATGCACACTGAGGCCTTTTACCATTTACAGGAAACTGGACGGTGGAAGCACAACACTAAGAATGGCATTGCAGAGGGTCAACCCCTGCAAACAGAAGGACCTTCCAAATAAAGGTCTCAGTGTCTGTGCTGGGATCTGAAGGCCTGCAGATGTGGAGGATACTCACCAGGTCCAGCAGTCTGTACAGAGTCTCTAGAAGGTCCTCGGACGTCTTGGAGGGCAGCAGTCCTCTCAGCCTCTGGCTCACACTCATTAAGGGACTCCTGTTGGCTCCTGGAGGGAGAAGGCAGGCACTCTTGACATGGTTCCATAAATATGTATAGTTGCCAATTCATAGAGTCAATTTGCACAATTAGCGTAAGTTGTGTTAATTGGCATTAATTACCATTGTAGTCTATGTGGACAATAGTGTGGACAGAAAATGTACATATTTGTATTCTCTGTGGGCTGATTATGATACATTGTGGGGACTCTGGATCATTTGGATTGGACAGATTGCTTATTTATTTGAAAAAGAATTGTCCACAGTGGAGAAAATAATGCGATTTCATCTTGTGCTCTCTATATCCAATTGTCGCAACACTACTCACGGTAATCAAAAACAGCCCACCGAGAGTACAAATATGGCCACTTTCTGGTTAAAACTGCAATTGTTAATCCTTACTCAGCATCCTCAATAACCCCCAAAAACACTCAATTTGTCAAAATCGGCGAAGCCATTAAAAAAAAAAAAGGTTTACATATAGGCCAGTGCTTCTCAAAGTGTGGTCCGCGGACCACTGATGGTCCGTGAGCACCCCCTAGTGGTCCGTGAGTATATTGGTAAAATTTCACATTTGAAATACATTTATTTATTTAAGTTTTCCGCACTCTCGCGGGAATATCTCCGCAATGGAGCTTAAGTTCCAGCGCAACACCTTCGTCACACATGTTGCCACTTGTTTGTACCATTGGGTTAGGGTGTTATGTGTTTTTTTATTTTATTTCAAGAAGCATATAAAACAAACAATGGATGTATTTTATGAACATTTATCCATGCTGAAAGTAGATTTAGATGTGTTAGGAGTGAGATACTGTAGAGATTATTGTCTAATATATGCATCCAATGAAGCATTGCATGTAGTCTGTTGATGATCAGAGGCTGTTGTTGGGGCTGCATAAACGTTCTTTTATTTTTGTTTTGTAGGCAGACCATACAGGCCAGCCCGATGGTCACCAAGGTTCATGTTTTATAGCATTTTTACAAAAAAAGCCCAGGCGAGCCTAACATGTGAAAATATGGCTTAGACCTCAGAGAGTTAAACTTGGGCCTGCGACCATAGTTTTACTGTATTTTGTCTTGAAAATCCATAGCGGTGTATTTTGCATTTCTCTCAGTAGCCAACGATCTGTGAGTCTGTTGGCTCGGACATAAACTCCGTAGTAAATGTAGTCTACATTTCATAAGAGGTGTAAAACCTGTGAACATTTTAAATCGCATTTGAACTCAATGCTTATAATCTGTAGTTGTATTTGTATTGTTGATTTATTGTGTGAACGAGGTGATATAGAGAAGGTTAAGCTGTCATTATTAGGCTGTAATTTGTTATATACTGTTGGAGTGGTAAGCAGGCCTATTGTTTTGGGATATTTGGGGAGTTAGGTGGTCCGTGAGTGTTTTTTTATTGGTTAAGTGGTCCTTGGTATGAAAAAGTTTGAGAAACACTGATATAGGCTATAATGCTATTCATTTTACTTAATCAAATTTATGTTAATTGTGCAACATATGCAAGTTAGCAGTTTCTATGTGCTGGGGACACGTACTATACATTTCTACCATAAAACGTTGGGGTACTCAGTATTTCTGCGTTCACTATTCTGGCAACTAGACTATATTGTTATAGTTAAGAACACATAAGCACTTTTGCAATTTTGTTATAGGTGTTCAATTGTTAAAAATGCTGAATAAGCACCATAACTTTGATGATCCGTGTTTGTCACGATCGGTTGTTTCTGTGAACGGCCAAATGATGCTTCATTTTAAATGTTGCGGCTGCAAGGAATTGTGGGACGGCATTATCTTTTCTTTTGTGAAGGATGCTCCACTTTATTCTATGCTAAGAAAGGTACCAAGCAGCATTGAGGTTCCATTCCTATTATTTAGAGCATTTTTTTTCAACATTTGCCAGAATTATTTTATAGATTACATTTCATTAAAAGAACTTGAGGTCTGTCATATTTAGTAAGTTTCTGCTTAAGTGAATTTAAAAACGTCAGCCTTTTCCCACACACTTGCCTTCAGCCTTGCTGGGTTGTGCGTTGCCTTCAGCCCGCAGCAGGAAGTGATCACTGCGTTTCCTCAGCTGCTGTTCAAAGGCGATCCGAAAAGCATCTGCAACCATTAACGCCTCCTCTCTCCTCAAACGCTGAGCGTCCAGCTGGAAACACACCGAACACACACACACACACACAAAATAATGTACATGCTTTACTGACATACTCAGAGTTACACTTAGGTAAACATAGGTACCATTAACTCTGAATCTAAACATATATTTTCATATTTTTGGTTTATATGGTTGGTTTAAAAAACATTGACAAAATTCAGGACATAACCAAAAGCCGCAGAGAGGCTGCTTGGTTTTGTCTGATGCATTAAAAAAAAAAAAACGACTGAGACTGTATTGAGCAGATCTTATTTTAAGCAAAAATAATCAACGTATTATACTGAAATTATGATCAAAATAATCCAGCTACCAAAAGTAGCGATCAACAAGAAATACAGCCAGCCTCTCAACTCTCTCTCACACACACACGTCACACACAGGTGAACACGGGATTATATCATTACAGTATATGAGTGTCGCCCTTATACATGTGAAGCTACCACACAATAATAAAGGATAAAGTATTACCATGTATTTGATGAATGGCAAACACTATGATATATATAATATATGTTTTTTTAAGAAAAAAAAAAAAGAGATGGCCTGACTCCAAACAACATTTTGAAAATGTTTACCAAGAACAATAAAAATATAGAAGCACTATTAAAAACATTATGAATAAAAAGGCAATCAAAACTAATTGTGTATTTGACAAATATTTAAATCTGAAATCTGAAACTGTATTTTAGTTTTTTTATTTATTTACCTGATGTCATTTTTCATTCATTTAAATGTCTACCCCTGATTTGAAATGTTTGTAGACACCATATATGTTGTTGAATAAAGGAAAAGGTTTGGGTGTAGTCACCTCCTGTTGGAGCTGCACCAGCTGCTTCCTGCTGGCTGCAGCGGTGTGACCGCAGGGACACGGAGCAGCCCCCGGGCACCGGCAGGCCCCCAGCACCGCCAGCTGCAGGACACACACAGGAACACTCTGACAACTGCATCTTTAATCCTACTGTCGTGTTCGGGTCAGATCCGACCGATTTACTAGTTTCATCAATCATAAATATTGTGTTTTACATTTGATTGCCTCAAGGCCGTATAATATCTTCCACAGTAGGCATTTGAACATATCAAATTGCTGATCACCACTTAATTTAATTTTGAGTTGTTTAGTACACTTTATAACTCCTATGATCCCAGGTCAAAAATGACCGCCATAGGAAATGAATGGTAACCCTACATTATGTTCACCCATCAGAGAGTACACACCCACCAAACGACGACCATGTTCATTTTGGAATACATTTTCAGTGTCTATTCTTTGTATATTTACTGCAGTTGTTAATGTTAACCAGTGGTCTGAGTCATTGTTTACAACTTAAAGGGGTGTTCAATTCTATTTGGTGAAGATTTATGTTTTTGTGTTAATGTAAGAGCACTTAAAATAGTCCTATAGATATTCCTCCATGCCTACTTATTTGTGCCCCGTGCAGTGTTGGGGTAGTTGTTCCAAAAAAGTAATGTATTACATATTACTAGTTACTTTTTTCAAAAGTCAGACTTTGGCCCTCATCACAATATCAGACAGTAATGAGACTTCATATAGAATAAGAATATAACATTGCCTATAAAATGTAATTCAAACCATGCATTTAACAGAAACAATCCACTTTAAAAACCACTGTAGCTCACTGTAGTCAAACTGTGGCTTTATGCTCGATGAATCCATCTTGCTGGACATGCTCATCAAAGAAGTGGTTAATCTTCATGAGGAGGAGTCTCTCAAATCGTTTGTCTGACAACCTGTTCCTCCTCATTCAGCAGCTACACAGTGTCGCTGTAATACATCTCCAACCCTCCAAGATAAAGACGTCACTCTGCCAATTTTGCTCCGTCTCCTCATCCATGAATTGCAGCTAAAGTTACGTCCCGTCAGACGTCTTTTTTCTTCTGTCCTCCCATCATGCAGATAGTTGAAGACCAGTAACGCAGGCAACAAGATCATTTCCTGTAATGTGATTACTGCTGTTATCAACAGTAACGTGTCACATTACTGATTTACAGACAAATGTAATCTGATTACAGTAATGCATTACTTTGTAGCATGGTACCCCAACACTGGCCCGGTGGCAACTTGGCAGGTAACTTTAGCCCCATCAAGTGTTTTGCGTGGGTTGTTACTGTACTGGATGTGAAGCTTTGTCCTAATTCTTGACCAGACTATGCGTATGGTGTGTGCAGCTCTCTCACCTCCAGATCAGCTGCGTCTCTCTCGGGGCTGTACTGAGGTTTGGTGCCTTGGTAAGCTCTCTGCTCCTTCACACTCAACATGGAGAGCAGCTCCAAGCACTGCCGACTACAAGCTGCAAACACACACAAACACATCAATCCGTGTGTGGATAAAGACAGGGACATGTGGTTGAAAGCTCTGTAAAAAGCTTTTTATTGGACGTCGCTCCAAAACATATATGTATTTATTACACAGAAGGACAGAAGTCGAAAGACAGAGAAAATCTGTCAAATCAACGGAAGAATACAGACAGGAAGTAAACACTAGAGGGAACAGCAGAAGAAGACATGCGGTAAACACTAAAGGGAACAGCAGAAGAAGACAGATGGTAAACACTAAAGGGAACAGCAGAAGAAGACATGCGGTAAACACTAAAGGGAACAGCAGAAGAATACAGACGGTAAACACTAAAGGGAACAGCAGCAGAAGACAGACGGGAAGTACACACTAAAGGGAACAGCAGAAGAAGACAGACGGGAAGTAAACACTAAAGGGAACAGCAGCAGAAGACATGCGGTCAACACTAAAGGGAACAGCAGCAGAAGACAGACGCGAAGTAAACACTAAAGGGAACAGCAACAGAAGACAGACGGGAAGTAAACACTAAAGGGAACAGCAGCAGAAGACAGGCGGGAAGTAAACACTAAAGGGAACAGCAGCAGAAGACAGACGGTAAACACTAAAGGGAACAGCAGAAGAAGACAGACGGGAAGTAAACACTAAAGGGAACAGCAGCAGAAGACAGACGGTAAACACTAAAGGGAACAGCAGAAGAAGACAGACGGGAAGTAAACACTAAAGGGAACAGCAGCAGAAGACAGACGGGAAGTAAACACTAAAGGGAACAGCAGCAGAAGACAGACGGGAAGTACACACTAAAGGGAACAGCAGAAGAAGACAGACGGGAAGTACACACTAAAGGGAACAGCAGAAGAAGACAGACGGGAAGTAAACACTAAAGGGAACAGCAGCAGAAGACAGACGGTAAACACTAAAGGGAACAGCAGAAGAAGACAGACGGTAAACACTAAAGGGAACAGCAGCAGAAGACAGACAGGAAGTACACACTAAAGGGAACAGCAGAAGAAGACAGACGGTAAACACTAAAGGGAACAGCAGCAGAAGACAGACGGGAAGTAAACACTAAAGGGAACAGCAGCAGAAGACAGACGGGAAGTAAACACTAAAGGGAACAGCAGAAGAAGACAGACGGGAAGTAAACACTAAAGGGAACAGCAGCAGAAGACAGACGGGAAGTACACACTAAAGGGAACAGCAGCAGAAGACAGACGGTAAACACTAAAGGGAACAGCAGCAGAAGACAGACGGGAAGTAAACACTAAAGGGAACAGCAGCAGAAGACAGACAGGAAGTACACACTAAAGGGAACAGCAGCAGAAGACAGACGGTAAACACTAAAGGGAACAGCAGCAGAAGACAGACGGGAAGTAAACACTAAAGGGAACAGCAGCAGAAGACAGACGGGAAGTACACACTAAAGGGAACAGCAGCAGAAGACAGACGGTAAACACTAAAGGGAACAGCAGCAGAAGACAGACGGGAAGTAAACACTAAAGGGAACAGCAGCAGAAGACAGACGGGAAGTAAACACTAAAGGGAACAGCAGCAGAAGACAGACGGGAAGTAAACACTAAAGGGAACAGCAGCAGAAGACAGACGGGAAGTAAACACTAAAGGGAACAGCAGAAGAAGACAGACGGGAAGTACACACTAGAGGAAACACAGTATTGGCTCTTGCAGTGTTTAAAGAAGGGACTATTTATTCTAAGCAGAAACAATAAGGTCATTTTTCAATAAATATGTTCTAATTAATATTTGTTTTCAAATTATTAATTTATCAGTAAGCAGCCATGTCATATGCAGGATAATATGCAGCGTCAAGTCATGATAGTGAAATGAACCATGACGGGGGGATTCAGGACCCCTTCTCTTAACGTCAGGGCTCACCCTGTCGGGGTACCTTTCGCTTTAATGACGAGTATGCTGAATTATACCCGTATTTAGATGCTAATCGTGCACGTTGGTAAGATGGATTCACTGCATGTAGTTTCCTCCTCACGCTGACTTCCAGAAGGATCCACTCCACTTCACAGATGGAGATAATGCGTGCAGACGTGTCTAGGTCACCTCAAAGTGATTCTACATTATTTAGCATTTACCAGAATGTTCTGCTCGCAGCTGCTGCATCTCACTCTCTCTTTCCTCCAGGCTGTCAGTCAGAGCCTTGTTCTCACTCAGTATTCTGATTACAACAACAGCAACAACAATACATTACAACACAAACCAGTGAAAATACCACAGACATGTGTGTATGTGGATAAAATGGGACCTGTTGTATTTCTGCTCCCAGGACTGCTGAGACTTTTTCATCTGGACCTGGCTGAAGCTCAGTTCCCACTGCAAGCTGTTCACCTCCTGCAACATCGTTTTAGAAATAGATATTAGATAACAGCTGGTCTCACGCATCAACAGATTACATGTAAAGGGATTACGTAATCAGAATACAAAAAAAAGTTACTGTATTCCCTTACAGTTACATTAAAAAATATGTAATCAGATTACTGTTACATAAAATAATTGGGGATTACTAGCTGTACTGTTCTGTAGGCTAATACTTTAAGTGTGAATCTATACGCCTACTGCCTGAATCTGCTTTATGGTTTTCACTTTCTTTGCTTCATTTGTTCTGTTCTTAATTCAGCAGGTGAACCTATATGTTCATAAAATAGTGTGTGTGAGCTTAACTGTGTGTATTAAACTAAAACTGAGCATTTTCTGTCAGCTCAGATTTGATTTCTGCTTTTTTAAACTGTAGTATGTGCTCATGTGTTTCAGTGTTGGTGTATAGGCTGCTGCCTGAATATGCTGAGTGAAAGGCAGGTTTTCTTATAAATAAAATCATTTTTGATCCTAAATATCTTGGTTTCTTCTTTTCTAAGGTTTCATTGTTCTGTTGTCTTACATAATACACTTAAGTAAAACACATCTTGTTGATATGTATTTCTCTTTTAATAATCTGCATTGCATTCTGTATTAAAGTAATCCAAAAGTAACAGAAAGTAATCAGATTGTATTACTTTTGTATTTTGATACTCAAATTAGGTTACTGACTTAATTTGTACAGGTAACAAGTAAATCGAACAGATTACATTTTTTAAAGTAACCCTCCCAGCCCTGTATGGTTTATACAAGCCCAAATAGAGTGTAGCAGGAATGAGTTATAAAACCAGATATGAGTTAGCATTTAAGCACATCTGGGTTCCCTTCTTCTCAAAGTCAGTGTGTTTTATTAACTTATTTTTGGTAAGAATACTCAAATAAAAGAAGTGGTCAACACTGGCTTATGGAATTTTTCACCATTTGTTCTACGACACACGTCAGTAAATACCCCGCTGGTGAATGTCTTCTATGAGTTGTAAAAACAGCGCTTGATGACAAGTGACTAAATGAGACGACTCAACATCCTCACGCCGAACATTAGCCGCCTTTAGCTTAGCGGCTGTGGCATAAAGACCGCGTTAACTACACTAAGAAATGTGAAAAATGTATTTGTTATTCCCATCTTAAAGGGGACCTATCATGCAAAATGCACTTTTGTACGTCTTTTATACATGAATATGTGTCCCCGGTGTTCCAGGGAACTCACCAAGTGTCAGAAAACACAACCCTCTCTATTTTCCTCCATACCCAAATCTCTAAAAAAAGGGGCTGCAACGGATCTGATAAAAACTGATCCAGATTTGAACACTTCTATGACGTCACAGAAGTGGCGCTACGGCTATTGGGCCAACTCTCCACCTATCAGGGGAATGTAGGGTTGGGCCACGGCCGGCCATTGCCGCTCGAAAGCGCTGGAGACGCTGTAGTACATATGCCAGGCCTGTAAGTGGCGCTGTAGTCTGCCACAAAAGCAGCGAAGAAGACCTCCCGCCCATAGTTACCATGGTTACCCTTCTGTTTATTCTCCGCTGTGGCTTTTTTTCTCCCTCCCCGAGGCAAGCGTTTGCTCCAGCTGCTTTAATTCAATGCAATCCCTCCCCGTCGAGGCAAGCACTGTAATTCTCTCCGGTTAGTCCACCAGCAGATGACAAACACCCACCTCTCCGCTTCTTCCAAGGAACGAGGGGACCGTGCGGCAGAGTTTCAGTTTCAGTTTCTTTCGCGGGTCAAGATGTCCGTTAAAGTTTAAATCTTCCAGACAAAATTAGAAAAGTGCCGGTCAAAGGTCTTCTTTGTTATTTATTGAGCTTTAAAACAAATGAATAACGACTCTATAGGCCTATAATAATATAATAAAACCATAGACTGTATATATAAATAAAACACGGAGGACGGAGATCTTTTTTTCTCCCCCTCTTGACTTGATCAGAGCACGGCTCACCTCTCCTGCAGGGGGGCGTGGTCAGCAGAATCAGACCCGTAGACAGCAAACAGCACATAGAGCGAAATGAGGCATGGCTAGAATGCATGATCTGTTTGGTATTTTGAAAACAGAAACATATAAATATACCTTATATAGGTATGGCCCTACAATATATCATTTAAATATAGCATGATAGGTCCACTTTAAATCATGATTATATTAACACTTTCCTTTTGGAGCCTCTAAGGAAAATGTTTTATTATATCAGAAAGTGACTTCATGTTTGGGGTTCACCATGGAAGGGGATGATGCTGCTAACTGTGAATAAGCTGCACTTTACATGCTTTTGTTTGAGCGTTACGACTTTAAGGCTGTGTCACTCTCTATTTGCTACAGTATAAAGTCAACTATGTTTACTCTCCGACATTTTTCTTTGAGTATATGTTCATTTTTGTTTTCATTTTTGCGTAAAGTAAGAGAAGTCCCACAACGCAAATTGACATTTTATAGAGTGCTTCGTTAGTAGTAGACGATTTTTCTCATTCATCGCTCTTGACCCATTTTATATTCCCTGTTATTTCTCATAGCGTGTATTCACTCTGAAAATCTCCAGTTGAGATCAGTCACAGAGTGTCTGTAAACAAATGTGTCTTCAAGCAGTGCCAACATTACCTGTGGTATTACACCTGTATCCTTTTGTCTTTGACAAATAGGAGCAGTAGGAACCTGATTCAGACTGAGAGTAAACAGACCCAGCCTTTATGTGTGCAGCCTGCACTCACACTCACCTTCTCCAGAGCTTTGGCCATCGCCTCACTTTTCTGCAGCAGACTCTTAGTGTGACTCGTGGCTTTGTCCAGAATGGTCTGTGTGAGGAAGAACATTCCTGCAGGCTTTTATTCAAATGTATTCATATTCCAAGGAGATTTATTGGCATGACCAAAACATAGTATTGCCAAAGCGTGTTGTACCAGGTGTTACAACAACAAAATACACATAAAACATAACACTAGTCAGTTGCCTCTCTGACTGAAGGCAACTGCTCCGAGTTCATATTAATATGTGTTTCAAACATAGGGAGAATCAGTCCTACTTGCCACAGTACGATGTTCAGATATATTATAACGCCATACTAGCAGCTGTGTAGAACTTTCTAAAGCGACTATTTCAATGATCAAAAAGCCCAACCAGTTTCTAGGACTGGAATACGTGTCACTGGAATACGTGTCACTGGAATACGTGTCACTGGAATACGTGTCATTTTCTGAAGGTTTTTCTGGAAGGTGTGGTGCTCTCATTTTTCATCAACTAATCCACTGATTCCTAACAAGGCTTCACATACTGGTACTCAATTAGTATAGGGTGGCTCAACAGAAATATATTTAAAAATAAAAATAAATATCAAAAGACAGAGAAATTAAAACATGTAAACGGATTGAATTAACTATAAAATAGTTACCAATCTTGAATAAATGGTTAAAATGGTTAGTTAAAAGTAATCACAATATAATATATTTGATTATATGTCTTGCTTTTACCATAATGGCTTGTGTGTGCATGTGCGTGTGCGTGTGCATGTGCGTGTGCGTGTGTGTGTGTGTGTGTGTGTGTGTGTGTGTGTGTCTGTGTGTGATGCTCTACCTTTCCCTGCAGGATCTTCAGAGCTTCGTATTTGCCTTCCAGGTAACGATGTGCCACCTCCAGCTCAGAGCACAACACCTCTATCACCTGTCAGAGGTCAGAGGTCACAGTTAGCAGGCTGCAGTCAAGAGGACGAAGGTATTCAAATTCAAGTTTAACATCCTTTTCGCTCATGCTACCTCAGTTGCTTCCTGCAGTCTGTCCTTCAGCTCGTCTTTGGAAAGGTCAACCAGGGAGCCTGCGTATTCACAACAAGTGTGCTCTTGCATTAGAGGTTATTGGAAAGGTGTGTGTGTGTGTGTGTGTGTGTGTGTGTGTGTGTGTGTCTGTGTGTGTGTGTGTGTGTGTGTGTGTGTGTGTGTGTGTGTGTGTGTGTGTGTGTGTGTGTGTGTGTGTGTGTGTGTGTGTGTGTGTGTGTGTGTGTGTGGAGCTTTATAGATTCAGAGCAAGGTCATCTGGATTGTGGTAAAGATAGCAAAGTGCGTTGTTCACATTGAGAATGTGTGCAGATTGAAATAGGAACAGCTTCCTGCTTCAGAGCAAACACATGCCTCTAACAAGCTGGAACAAAAACACAACGTGTTGCCCTCCATCAAAGGCTGCCTTTTGAACAGCAGAACATTACACACAATAAGAACTGGCCCTATACATTACTGCTCTTCATAGGCGTCATTCATACTGGGGACGCTTGGGACGTGTCTCCACCTCTTTTGGAAATGGACAGTTTTGTCCCCACTTTGCATTAGGATCATTTGTTAAAATGTTAAATAAATAGCGTGCACAAGTAATTGTACACTTTGAGAAAGGTTTATTTGGACAAGAGACATGTATATTCTAGAGGACTGTTCTCACTTTAGGGTGTATTTCTGGGGACCCAAGTGGTGCAGTTTGGACCTGAGACACATTTAATATTAGGAATAATGTAATAGAGAATAGTGAATAAATTGTTGTTCCCGCTTTGCAGCAGCGTGGCATAGTTACTGCACTAGTTGTCATAAAAAGTCTAAGCATAATGTAATAATAATAATACATTTTATTTGTAAAGCACCTTTAATTGTGTGTGTATGATAATACGTGTGTATGTTTGTATTGTTTGCGCGTAACGCAGTAGTGTCCCCACCACTTTCTCTAACAAACCATGCTGGTCTTACATGGACTTAGAAAGAATGCAATATACGATGGACATTAATATGCAAATATGCTATAGATAGATGTTATATGTCTTGTTGTCATGGCTCTGTTGATTTGTTATTATAGGTCACTGCTATGTAATAAGCAATTAGGGGCTGGCTGGTATGTTAGAGGCATTTTACTTTAAAGGTCCCATGTCATGGCCATTTCTACTGATCATAATTCCATTGTTGAGGTCTACTAGAATAGATTTACATTGTTCAATGTTCCAAACTCACATTGGTTTCTCATACAGCATCTCTGTATAGTTGTGTATTCACTCTCTGTCCTAAACGGCTTGTTGGATCTCCTGCCCCCCCCTCCCTATGAGCCCAGTGTGCTCTGATTGGTCAGCTCGCCCACTCTGTTCTGATGAGTCCACCACTGTTACAGCGGAACATCAGTGATTATGTTTTACAATGGCGTTAGCAACCAGAAAATGACACCAGTAATGACAAACAGGTGAGAATGCTGCGTGGGGTCTGGGTGCCGTGTTGGCGGGACGTTGCGGGGCTCGCTGCTGGAGCGGACAGTGTGAGCTGGCTTGCTGGTGTGGTTTCCTGGTTGCTGCGTGGGGTCTGCGAGACAGAGAGACAACGTGAAACTCAGCCTGAACTCAGCCTGAGCACACACACACACACACTCTCGTAGCCTGGCTGTGAGTTTGTGTGTGCGTTCAGGCTGAGTTTCGTAGTGTCTTGCTTTCTCAGGCTGAGTTCAGGCTGAGAAATCTGCGGTGTGTGTGTGTGTGTGTGTGTGTGTGTGTGTGTGTGTGTGTGTGTGTGTGTGTGTGTGTGTGTGTGTGTGTGTGTGTGTGTGTGTGTGTGTGTGTGTGTGTGTGTGTGTGTGTGTGTGTGTGTGTGTGTGTGTGTGTGTGTGTGTGTGTGTGTGTGTGTGTGTGTGTGTGTGTGTGTGTGTGTGTGTGTGTGTGTGTGTGTGTGTGTGTGTGTGAGAGGAAGTCGTTACGTCACTACGACCCAGGAAGAAAACAATGGAAAAAGAGAAATGTCCAACGAGGCGTTCTGGGGCAGCATAGACAGGTCTTTTCTGTGTTAGAGTTTTACTCGCTACAGGGTGTACTTTGAGGGTGTGTGACTCTGCAGACCGTTTACATGCAGAAAAAGCTACATAACCAACACAGTCTCACGGCATTTCGTGTTATAGTCACGAAATTAATCTATTGATTCGTGTTCACCAACACGATTTCGCCATTTTTTTCGTGTCACACAGAACGATTTTAAAAGCAATGTAAATAATAACAAATTAGAAGGAAAAACAGATAAAAAAAAATACAGATTTCAGTATTCTGACACAGAACGATTTTAGAAGCAATGTATTTCTATTGGTAGTATGTTTCGTGCCTGCACCAAATAATAACAAATTAGAAGGAAACAAAGATGACAAAAAATACAGATTTCAGTATTCTGAGGCTCTGAGCCATTTCTTTTCCTCACGGACGGCAAAAAAAACTCCGACATTATACAATTTAAAATAAAAGGGATAGGGTTAGGCTTAGGGTAAGATATTGAGTAAGAACATGTTTTTATGAACCACACAGCTTCTGGTATTCCAAGACGCGACCGGACAAAAAGACGTGTTGCAGGCACGAAACATACTACCAATAGAAATACATTGCTTTTAAAATCGTTCTGTGTGACACGAAAAAAATGCGAAAATCGTGTTGGTGAACACGAATCAATAGATTAAATTAATTTCGTGACTATAACACGAAATGCCGTGAGACTGGGTTGACATAACACACAAGGGGACGGGTAATAACCAGAAAAGCATGACATGGGACCTTAAGATTATTATGGTTTGAATATTTGGTAAAGGCTTTAGATTAAACTAATTTAATTATTTATTTTTATGAATTAGACTTGGATTTAAAACATATTAATTTAGATAATTAGTTACTTTAAGTCTCTCTTTTCCGTCAGTAAATATGTGCTGTGAGGCAGGATATGACCTGTCTAAATGTCTATATACGGCAGGACAATGGGACATAGAGGGGGATGATCAGACGGGGAAGAGGTATAGTCTTTTGACCGCAACCTTTTTGTTATATTTGATTAAACGGAGAACTACTTTTGTTGCTTTTGAATCGAGGACGTTTATGTTGATGTTTATATGCTGCCTGGATCGCTTAATAAATATTGGATGCAACGCTATACAAAGATCTCTGCATTTGATTGGCAACAAATTGAAGTCAGAACCCACAACCCTGACAAAGTAAAGTGGTATTTTATTTTAGAAACGGATTAAACACCACAACGCTCTTCTTTAAACTCTACAATATAGACAGAGGTTTAGTCTCAGGTTAGCACTGATGGAACATCAACGGAGCATACAGTACTATGGACTGACCAATCTCAGTTTAAACCTCTTCAGTCTGAGATAAAACGCTAACTGAATATTTCGAGCCACACTGCACAGCGGTGATCAATTATGATCAGGTAACTAATGCTTTTCCTGACTGAAATAAACGTTCAAAATCCAAGTTCAACAGTATTCCCCTCCGTCAAGCAAAACTGTCGGGACATCCCCAAAGTGGAAGTTTATATATTTCAATTATTATTCTTTCTTTTCCTCTGCTTAGTAATATGCTAAAATTCAGACTTATGCTTTTATTAAAAACTGCAAATGTCCCCTCTGTGGGGCGAATAAAGGTATTCTGAATCTGAACGCCAAGTTTCAAAATGAGCTGTTCACATACTGAAAACTATACCTTTATACCATTCCCAACTATTTCCTAAAATGTCAATCTTACTGAATTGTGACAGACTGGAGTCAGTTTAAATAGTTGTTTCGTCATGGAAAACAATATAAAACATATCCTGATTGAAGACCAAAATTCCTTAAAATGTTTTTTATATACATCTACTTCCAACTTTAGTTATTGTGTATTCCTTAATTAATAAATGTATGTTTTTTGTATAATAATGACAAATTAAGAAAAGATGCTATTTGAGGGTGAAAGAAGATCATTTGATGGTATCCTTTTTGTCTCTTCATCTAGTTCTTGTCACAGTAAAGGGTCTGTTAGGGCCAGTCTTTTGTTTTGTAAAAAAGGGCCAAATATTTTCACCTAATCGTGACCTCTGTAGTCGACACTATAAAGGACTACATTTAGTGGAGACAGCTTCTAACCGTTAAGTTATTATCCTACACAAAGTAAAGTCTTTGTTGAATGTGTATGAAAAGTGTATTATTTTATTTAGATTAAACGCAAGTAAAAACAAATGAACGAAAGATAACGCATTAGAACTGTCTGTTTAAGGCAGGGGTCTCAAACTCAAGGCCCGGGGGCCAAATCCGGCCCGCGACTTCATTTTATGTGGCCCCGCAAGAGCTTGCAAAGAATATAATACGTTTATTATACGGTTACATGCCACTTTACAGAAGCAGGTTGCCCATAAACGACATGTCCCACATCTCGTTTTGTGACATGCACACTGAAGAGACTTGCAATTATTTGCCCTGGATAGAGATGTCCCGATCCGATCACGTGATCGGGGATCGGAGCCGATCACGTGATTTTCAAAAGATCGGAATCGGGAGAAAAAAATCGGGGATCGGGAATTTTTTTTTTTTTTTTTATAAAATTTTATTTTTTTATTTAATGTTACAAAACAAAAATGACCATGTTCACGTCTTAAAGTCATCCTGAGGCCTTAGTTTTGGTTTAAAATTACACAACGTCATGTATGGGTTGCTTATTTCTCTCAAATCTGGCAACAGAGTGGGCAGGGCGCAGTGTCTAATAGTAGCAGTAAGCTAACAAGAGGCTACGTTCAGCTGGTGACTCGGGAGTCGGGACAGAGAAAATGTCAGGAGTTTGGAAGTATTATAAAATTGAAAGCGAAGGCAGTGTAACAGCCAGATTCAATGTTTGCAAGGCGGAGGTTCTGCGTGGTGGAAAGAACAGAGCTACGTTCAACACGACCAATCTAATACGCCACCTGAGAAACAAACACCAACAACAACACGACTAGTACACAGCGGCCACTCAGGTAAAGGCACTGAAACAACCGACACTTTCAGAGACTTTTAAAAGGAAAGAGAAACTGCCCCAGAACAGTGAAAAGGCCAAAAAAATAACAGCCAAGATAGCTGAATTGATCGCGTTGGATGACCAGCCGTTATCTGTGGTGGAGAACGTGGGGTTTAAGGGACAACTTGAATGCTTTTCTCCTTTTTTTTCTCTTAATGCATTGCATAAAGATCGGATCGGGAAAAATCGGTATCGGCAGGTTGTCAAAATCAAACGATCGGAATCGGATCGGGAGCAAAAAAAGGTGATCGGGACATCCCTAGCCCTGGACTTCTGCTTTCAGACGTAGTTAATTATTAAGTTATTATCCTATCCGATAATAATCAAATTCAGAAGCAATAATGTAATATAATACATTATTTTATATATATATTATATATTTATATAGTTACACCCTTTGAGTGCAACCTTTATGCGAATGTGGCCCGCGATGAAATTGAGTTTGACACCCCTGGTTTAAGGCATCTAGTGGCCTGATAGAACCGCAGGAGGCTGGTGCGAGAGGGTCACAGATGTAGTTACCGGAGCAGGGGGGCCTCCAGCGGGCCCTCTGCTGGGGCCCTGCTGTCTTCAGGCCAGGGATCCAGGCGCCCCCCCCCCAGGCTGCTGCTCCTCGGCTCTGCTCTGGACAGCAGGCTGTCTGCTGTGAGGCTCTGGCTCTTCTTCCTCAGGGGCCCACTGGGTGCTAACCCCCCTGTCCCATCCCCCAGGTCTCCTTCCAGCATGTCATCGTCCAGGCTGCAGGCCCCGCTGACCTCCTGCATCTGGACCAGAGGTGGAAAGTAACAGAGACATTTACTCAAGTACAGTACTTAAGTATTTTATTTGAGTATTTACATTGTTTGCTACTTTTTACTTCTACTCCACTACAATTCAGAGGCAAATCGTGTACTTTTATTCCACTACATTTATTGAAGTAGTATAAAATAGGGAGAAGTACTCAGATCTTGTACTTGAGTAAAAGTAGAAGTACCAGAGTGTAGGAATACTCTGTTACAAGTAAAAGTCCTGCATTCAAAATGTTCCTCAAGTACTTTTACTATGTAATGAAAATAAAGTTGAATCTGAATCTGATCGAAAAGTAGAAAAGTATTAACATCAAAATAAAGTTAAAGTACCAAAAGTAAAAGTAGTCATTGTGCAGATTGGTCCATTTCAGAATAATATATATATGTTTTATAATGATTGATCATTAAAGTGTTCTCAAAGCTGGTAAAGGTGCAGCTAATTTGAATGACTTTGTATACTGCAGGGTAGCTTGTGAATTTACTCCAGGTGGAACTAAAGTCTGATTTAACACTTGATTATATTTCACATCATTAATCGAATCTGCAAAGTAACTAAAGGTATTAAATACATGTAGTGGAGTAAAAGTACAACATTTGTCACTGCTTTGTAGTGGGCTTGAAGAGTACAAAGTAGCCAAATATATTAGTACTCAAGTAAAGTACAAATACTTCAAATGTGTACTTAAGTACAGTACTTGAGTAAATGTACTTAGTTACTTTACACCACTGCCGATCTTTGCCCTTTACCGGTGTGTTCGTACCTGAACTGTGACACCCTAATGACAGAAATGTCTCTGAATGATGATGATCGTTAGGATGGTTACTTCCTCTTACCTGCAGCTCTGAAGCAGTGAGCGTTATATTCCTGTTGGCGCTTCCCAGCAGACTCAGATAAAACCCAGTTAGTGAAGTTTGATCCCAGAGTTACCTCCGAAGAGACAGCTCTAACAAGTTTAGAATATTTGTATAGATAACTCGGCGGAGTCGCTTCCTTTCTGCACCTGAACGCAACCTGCCCCAGCGTTACCAAGCTATCCGTGCCCAACACAAACTACTTCCGGTCCTGACATGAAATAAACTCAATATATTTTTCATCTAAAAAAGCACGATGCATCCTCACATAACTGAAGTCATTAACAACGTACCGTCAAATAAGTAGAACAATTCACAACCTTATTAAAATTATGACAGGAAAACAGAACAATTTTAAATTCAAAAAATGTAGTTATGTATTAGATGAATAAGATATGCATTATTAGCCCTCGTAGATTTAAAAAGGTATCACAGAAGGAATTATTTCTTAATTTTTCCTCAAGTTAAACATAGTTTAGTGCGTCACCAAGAACAGAGGGACTATTTAAAGGAGCCTCCTGAAACTGTTGTAAAGTAAATATTGGATAAAGGGGTGTGTGCGAGTAAAAGCAAGATAATGTGCAATTAAAGAGCCCAATGATCAGTTTCACACATTATTTTTTATTCACATTCTTCTTAAGAAATAAACTATTTGTCCATCAAAAAGGCATTTACTGTAATGTTCCATCCACCCATGGAACACGGTGAATGTAACAGATTTCAGTGTAATGCTTGGCTTGTTCACAGACAGTTCTCCATTACAGGTTCATCTAAGGTTCAACAGTCACTCAGCAAAGCAAAGAGATGTGAAGTAAAACATAACAAGTGCTGAACATGCACTTCACACAATAAATACTGACAATATTTTAACTGGAAAAACTGAACTGTTAAGGGCCACTTAGGAGAAATGAATCCCCATGCTTTCATATTATCATGAGCCTGTTTTTCAGCTTAAGAATCACAGCTTCCATTAGACTAAACAATCTTATCTTATACAGGTGACACCTCAATGAGGCAAAAACACTGGTGATACCAGAGCTAGTATCACAGTCATCAACACACTATGGTGTACAGGTTCAGGTATGAATACAAATCTAAATTCTCAAAGATCTAGGTCTGAATTCTGAGAGGAAAGTGAAAGTATACCAGCTTTTAAATAGTAACATTGTTTTTCCTTTGTCAATCTCAGACCTGGTCTTTTTTTTTCACGTGTCGCTGATCCTCCTCCATACAAGCCAAAACTCATTCATAAGAACATCCAGTGAAATAGTGAATGTGTCACAGTATGACAGTGGATGTGTTAGTCACTGTTGTAGTCCTCTATGAGCAGCTCCTCCTCCTCCTCTAGAAGGTCTTGGCTTGTTGTAGGCTGGGGCTGACTTTCAGGCAATCCCTCTTCAACCCCAGCCTGACCTTCCTCTTCCTTTTTCTGCTCCTCTTCCTCCTCACTGTCTCTCTCCGGCTGGGCTGGCTCTTTGTCTGTCAGAGCCTCCAGCTTTAATCTGCAAACGCACAACTCAAACATCAGGTCAATACAGTTTACACAACGGCAATGTACAAATATCTATTTAAATTGAAGAACAGATGTTTCTTATAAGGACACCTGCACATCATTCTAAATCACGCTTAAGGAATTGATGTTAAATCACAGGTATCCATAGTAACAATTAATGTTTGTGATTTTAACCAAAGGAATAAAATTACTTTTATTTTTAAGCTCTTGCAACTATATTCATTTTACAAATAACACATTACAGGGTTCATACACTTTTTCACCAATGATTTTCAATGACCTTTACCAAATTTTCCATGACCAAAAAAAGTACTCTTTCTCAGCGGTACCACTGAAAATGGTTTATTTTAACATGGAACAGGAAAATAAGGTCTGCATATGAAACATATTGTGCCTATCTAAAACAAATCAAATAGGCTTACTAGTTTCTACACGCTAAAGCAACTCAAATCTCTCACCAGCAAAATACCTCGTCAGTTAAATGCCATTTTACGTTTCATTACTATACGATACAGTATGTATTATCATTATAGTATTACTATTTCGGCGATTAGCTAAAATATAAATTATATTTGATGCAACTTTAGTTACATTTCCATGACTTTTCCATAACTTTGGGAAAAATATTGTTTTCCATAACTTTTCCAGGGCCTGGAATTAGCATTTTGAATTTCCATGACTTTTCCAGGTTTTTAATGACCGTAAGAACCCTGACATTATGATGGAACTAGTTCTCATGCTTTCAATAATGGTTATTAAGTGCTTCTAGTAAACGGCAAACATGATAGGCTTCTGTCTCCAGTCTCTTTCTTGAGATACCCAGAAATGATAAAATACACAACACTTTGTAAATTGTGAGATACAGCACTTATGCGGCTTTCACACCAGCGCTTTTCCCTTTCTAGCTCCGAGCGAGAGCTTTTCTGGTTCAGCTCCCGTTTCCCTTTTCAGCTCCCGCTCGGTTCACACCGCCCAGAGCTGCCGCTGCTGCGTCATGACGTCACAGTTTACGTCGCTGATTTTCTCCCACAACAACAACGGGGGGGACTGCGTCGGGTCGATGATCGTGTTGCTTTGAATCATACGAAGCCAGATTAAATTAAATAACGACTTCTCCAACCTTATACTTTTCTCCAGAGTGCCGTGGTTCATTGTTTATTAATGTGTTTCAGCGGCATTTACCGACCGCTGCAGTGCTGGCTGCTCTTCCACGGGAGTTTATTTTCCCGTTAGCTCCGGGTTAGCTCACACGGCTCTAAAGTATTCACTGTCTGACTGTCACACAAGCAGCTGATACATATCCCCAGTTCCCCTTAAGTGAATGTGTGTCAGTCTGAATTGACGCTGTTTGGCATCACAACGCTGTTATGAAAGTTTCTCTGGTATAACATGGGTGATGTTAGCATAGCAACCGAAGCTAAACTGACTACTTGCTAAGCCGTTTTCTACAGGCACTTTTTACCGGCGTATTTTTCATTATGATTCTACTAGTGATAGTCGGACATGACAACCTGTGCAGCCCATGTATTAATTCCATCCGATAGCTGCTATAATAACAAACAAAACGTCTGCCTGCTCTCCACAATGATCAATAATAATAATAATAATAATAATAATAATAATGGGTTCCATTTATAAAGCACTTCATATTCGAATTCAAATCCCGAAGTGCTACAGGCAGTGAGCAGGAACAGTATAAATAGACATGACACAACACGGTAGAATTCATAAAAAGCAATAAAAAATAAATAAATAAAAATAAAGATAAAAGGATGGTAAAAGGGTCTAGGCAAAGGCTCTTTTGAATAACAGCGAACGGATGGTCAAAGTAAGGTTTCCTGCACGCCTCGACGTAAGAGACGTAAGAGACGTAAGCGACGCCGCGTCATAGCTCCGAAGCTCTTGCCTCTGGACCGACAATTTTTTGGAGCTGGAAGTGAACCGCATTCCGGAGCTATGACGCGCCGCCGCTGCGGTGTGAACAGGAAAAACCGGCGCTTTTCCAGCTCCAGCTCCGAGCAGGAGCTGGAAAAGCGCCGGTGTGAAAGGGGCATAATGCCCCTTTTTTTAGTGATTTGTAATGCCGTTTGCATATCTATTGTTTTGTATTGTTTTTACGTCATGTAGGAGAGTTTTTCAGTCTGTGGCTTCTGATCTGGTTTCATTGTCTCCTGTCTTACATTTGTTTCATGTCCTGTCTGTTTTTATGCTATGTTTTTATACAGTTGATGATGTACAGCACTTTGTTCAACTCTGTTGTTTTTAAATGTGCTATAGAAATAAAAGTGGATTGGATTGGATTAAAGAGAAAAATATAAACATAGAAATAAAAAAGGTACAATTTGAAATGAGATGCATTTGCTTAAGAATGATTGGAAGTCCCTAGTGAGTGCACCTTTAACAACATTACACTTGCATCAAACCTGTTGTTCTTACAGTGTACAAAATAATGTATTCACTAAAACACATTTATTTGGTAAAATAATCATATTACTTTTAGTTTAATATAATGTGACTGATCATTAGTACTAAGCAACTTCAAGTAAAAACGCTGAGTTAGAAAGTAAGACTTTAGGTCATGGGGACTCACAGACTTGAATCTAAGTGCATTATGGGAAATGTGAAATTGTGTGCTATACCTGCCGGGGAGCCTCCTCAGCGACATGTGACCCACATCCTGGATAAAAGCTATCTGAGCTGGAACACAGTGAAGCACAGAGCACGTCTGTTAATAAACTCCAACACACACACACACATCCAAATGCGTTTACAGACTCTCACCAGCAAAAATAAATCCTTACTTACTTTGTTCACAGTCAAAAATACAATTCTTCAGCCAGCACAATGACAAAACTAAAATCAATGAAACCCTATGAAATTCCACCTAAAATAACAGTACCACCAGCATTTGTAGGCGTTTTAAGCATGAGGCTTTGATATAATGCTTTAATGTCAATAGAGATATTAGCAAGGAAACCATAGCAACAGAGCATGTTATGAATGTGGCAGAGAGGTTGTAGGTCAGTATTTTCAGGAAGGAGATACATAATATACAGTATATCTTGGCATTTCTACCAGGTGGGCTAAATGCTCAGTTGTTAGTCAAAGCTTTATAGTACATTTGACAAGCGACTTTATTAAAACAGACGTCACATCATATGACATGGTTAAGCTACTTTACAAGAAATTGTTAAAGACTTTCAGTTACAAAATATAATTGTGTTTGAAACAATCTGTTGTTCTGAATTACTCATCTTAAGGGTTATGATTTAATGCATGTTACTTTGTCAAAACAGACTATCCTCAAATGATGCTCTGTGGATCTGCAATGCGGTTACTACGCTCATTAATATCAGCAGTGTCTGTCTGTCTGTCTGTCTGTCTGTCTGTCTGTCTGTCTGTCTGTCTGTCTGTCTGTCTGTCTGTCTGTCTGTCTGTCTGTCTGTCTGTCTGTCTGTCTGTCTGTCTGTGTGTGTGTGTGTGTGTTACCTTGGTTCCTCAGAGGGTTGGTGAGTTTGGCCAGGTAGGGCAGCAGCTCAGTCTGCAGGCTGACCGGTGTGAGGCAGAAGCTCCTGAACAGAGACTGAGCAGCCAGGCCATTCTCTCGGTGCTGACAGGAGCAACATCAGTGTCATTACAGAATACTTATTCATCAGACACACGACAGGATTATATTACATTACATGTGGCTGTCGCTTTTATCCAAAGCGACTCACAATAAGTGCAAACACCATAAAGATTTAAACTCCAAACAGCAAAGAAAGTGCAGATATATTCACTCCAAGCAAGTCAGACCGTTGTAAGTGATGGTAAATTAGTTACAGGGCCTAAATTAATTTTAATTAAACATTTGTATTTATTTAATTGCCAATCTAGAATAGAAACAGATAGGTCTTCAGCTTGTGACGGAAGATATGCAGAGTTTCTGCTGTCCTGATGTCAATGGGGAGCTTATTCCACAATATAGGAGCCAGGATAGCAAACAGGCGTGTTTTTGAGGGGTCCCACTCACAGTGATGGGGTAGCAAGCCGATTGGCTGATGTAGAGCGAAATTGTTTTAGTTGATATATTCATGATCAAATTTATAATCTGAAGGATGTTCTATACATGGTTTACCCTTAATAACAAGGACTTTGACAGTTGTTTGAATCTGTGGATAAGTTTTGTTACAGTAATACTATCCCAAGTTCCCAACTATGCAAACCTGCGGTTGAGGGCACACGTCCAGACTTAAGAGCTTTAGGAAGAGATAAGTATAATCAAAATGTTACATTTTGTATTTACTCATGCATATTAAAGTGAGAACGGTACACCTTTAGTCTCAAGCCCCCGGCAACTACTGTACTTTTGTAGTAATGGTTCAGGTGACATCTCTAGTTGCAACCATGCAAGATGCAGTCACACAAATGTCCATTACATAATCTGTCTACCAGACCATAGCCAAATTAGCTAGTTTGTCAGTTACCCTCTTTATGGCGTTTCATTTAAAAGAGCCAGGTCTTTGTTACAGACAACACAAGTTAAACCAGTCTGTAACTTTTAGCCACAGCTGAGCCAATGACAGAGCACGATGTGATGTGTCTTACCTTTTTGTTGACCAGCAGCCAGTTGGGCTTGTGAAGCGGTCTGAAGCCGACAGAAACCTGCTGCGAGTTGGAGTGCAGGAGCCCCCTTGTGGCCACTGAAGACCCATAATACTCCATGGTGCTGCGACTCTGAAAACATCATTACACAACCTTTTGGCATGATCAACAGTGGTGTAAAGTAACTAAGTATACTTACTTAGGTACTGTACTTAAGTACAGTAACCAAGTATACTTACTTAGGTACTGTACTTAAGTACAATTTTGACAGACTTGTACTGGACTTGTTCAATGTTTTGCTACTTTGTACTTCTACCCCACAACAATTCAGAGTTAAATGGTGTACTTTTACTCCACTACATGTATTTAATACATTTAGTTACTTTACAGATTTGGATTAATGATGTGAAATATAATCAAGTGTTAAATCAGACTTTAGTTCCACCTGGAGTAAATCCACAAGCTACCCTGCAGTATACAAAGTCATTCAAACTAGCTGCACCTTTACCAGCTTTGAGAACACTTTCATGATCAATCATTATAAAACATATCATATATATTATTCTGAAATGGACCAATCTGCATAATGACTACTTTTACTTTAACTATATTTAGATGCTAATACTTTTGTAATTTTACTTGAGTAACCTTTTAAATGCAGGACTTGTACTTGTAATAGAGTATTCCTACACACTAGTAGTTATACTTTGACTTAAGTACAAAATCTGAGTACTCCTCCCACCTCTGATGATCAAAGTATTCATATAACTTTTTAAATGTCTAAGAAAGACTGACCGTCCAATCAGAATTGAGGAGGTCAGCATCAGACAGATATTCGCTGGCTCGGTCCACATCCTCCACCTCGGAGAAGAAGTCCAGGTAGTTCTGGTGGAGGTACAGGCTGAAGAACTCCCCGGACATGTGTGAGCGCTCAACAACAAACTGAACGAAGAGATAAAGACAGAAGTGTTATTAGTGTTTGAGCATGCCATTTGTTATCTGTGAAAGCTAGTAAAAAAAAACGTGTGTGTGCACCTCAGGGTCTACGAGTAACGCTTCTCTGTGATGATGAGACAGGTGAGAGGGTAGAGGGGGTCCAGGGGGACTCTCAACCACTTCAACATCTTCCCGTTGCCCTCCTGGTAATGACAAACACACAAGCAAACAAACTATTTGACAACACTGACAGAAGCTATTTGAATCATCATAAACTGCATCTGTGCTACCTGGGGTCCTTATAAACAAAATGTCCCCCTTTTAAATGGTCTTGGGGCGCGTTCACACCGCAGTACTTTTCCCACTTTAGTTCCGATATAGTTCCGAAATGTAGCGTTCACACCAAAAAGAGCCGGAACTAAAATTAGTTCATGAGAACCTTTTTACCCACTTTTCAGTCCCTGCTAGAGAGCAGGGACTTTCGTGGGAGAAAAAGGTTCCTATGTCTGATTGGCTGAGCGGATTGCAAACCACGCCCCGTAAAACTCCCAAAAAGTTTTGTGAAGCCACCATTTTATTATCCTCGCATTAGCATTATTAGCATTAGCATTAGCCCAACACAGAAACGCAGAGAGACTAACTTATGGCAACACAAAAGAAAACATGGGAGCGGTGGAGATGAGGAGGTGTCGGCGTTCTGGCGATTTACTCGGAAGGCTTCAGTAGAAGCTGCTGGGAGTCCCAGCAGCTTCTACTGAAGCCTATGATCGCCTAATGGTTCACACCGGAATAAGTCCCTGGGGAGGATTAGGCAAATGAAGCCGCTGACGTCACTTCTTCTTTTGCTTTGGGTTTACTGGCAGGACGCAAACAACTTCACGGTGTATACTGCCACCCGAAGTCCCCGGCCGGAAGTCCCCGGAGTTTACTACCAATTAAATTGCCAGAACGCCGACACCTCCTCATCTCCACCGCTCCCATGTTTTCTTTTGTGTTGCCATAAGTTAGTCTCTCTGCGTTTCTGCGCTGGGCTAATGCTAATAATGCTAATGCAAGGATAATAAAATGGCGGCTCCACAAAACTTTTTGGGAGTTTTACGGGGCGTGGTTTGCAATCCGCCCAGCCAATCAGACATAGGAACCTTTTTCTCCCACGAAAGTACCTGCTCTCTAGCAGGGACGGAAAAGGGGGTAAAAATGTTCTCATTAACTCATTTTTGTTCCGGCTCTTTTTGGTGTGAACGCAACATTTCGGAACTATATCGGAACTAAAGTGGGAAAAGTACTGCGGTGTGAACGCGCCTCATGAGAACTAAAGAGTTCTCATGAACTAAGTTCTGATGAACCTTTGTGGGAAAAGTACTGCAGTGTGAAAGCGCCTAATATTATTTAATTATTTTTATATTGTTTTATTTAATTTATAGGTTTTACAGGTTTTTATTTATATAATTTATTTTAGAGTTTTATTGGACATTTCCTTGTAAGTTGGTTTTTAATCTTTTAACCTTTATTACAAAGTTTTGATTATTATTTATTTTATAGGTTTTTATATTTTGTTGAATCGATTCATTTTTGTCTTTGTTTTTTTCCGAGAGGGATCATTATTTATTTTGTTTTTATTATCATACCTTTTACCTCCTTGTGTCTTAAACTGTTATATTATGTTGCTGCATGTTAAAGGTCTTAGCGTCTGATCTGAGGGGAATTTCTTCTTCTCTGTTTTCATTTGTAATGTGTGCCATGTTGTTAAAGCACTTTGAGCTGCACCTGCTGTATGAAAAGTGCTACATTTATTTATATAAAGCAGGATTTCAGATTAATTCTGATTCATGAAGAAATAATAATAATAATAATAATAATAATAATAATTATAACTAAAGCTTTATTTAGCTGGCTCACTGATTTGTGTTTCTAAAAACAGAGGAAGAAGATAGTTCAGGCTGTTACACACACTCCTGGTTAGGAGACACTTGTATGGAAACAGGGAGATATGACCCACGTTTGCAGTGCAGGATCTTCCCCAGAGCTCTGAACAGGAACAGAGAAGCATCTTTCCCTCCAATAGCCTGCTCCTCTCCCTGATCCCTTTTCTGTTTAGACCTCTTCTTCTTCTGGTTTGTTCTGGAAACAGCTTTGCCCAGTGATGTCCCCTGTCGGTCCTTCCTCAACAGCCCCTTTTCCAATGACGTGTCTGGAAGGTTACAGCAATGACAGAACTTATACATGTCAGTTGATTAGACAACCACGATGTTGAGTGCACGTATACACTCCCGACCCCCCCCCCTCCGGTGTGGTGCGTGTATTATCCACTGACCTGGGAGGGAGGAAAACTGGAGGCTGTTGATGGCACTGCGAACATCTCCTGAGCTTCCTGAACACAGCTTCTCCAACACTGCATGGTCAGGGACGCACATCCTTCCCCCGCTCTGCTTAGAACAATGGGAAAGTACAGTGTTAGAAAACCTAAAAACTCGTACCAATATGATTCATCTACTGCAAGGCTTCCTTTCACCTTGCCTGCCTCCAGGGTGGAAATCCGAGAGAGGACCTTCATCATTGTGGTTGGAGCCACCGGATTAAAACTGGAAACAGAGAGCACACAAAACAATGTTCAGAGGAATCCTTTAGATCAGCGGTTTTCAAAGTGTGAGGCGCGCCTCCCCGGGGGGGAACCAGAGAGCTTCAGGGGAGGCGCAGCGTGAGAAAAAAATAACGAGAAACAGTCAAATCTAGCTAGTTAACTTCAGCTAACGAGCGGCAACATGGATCGATTTTTTGTGAAGTTACCTAAAGTGAGAGAAGAGACAGCGTCTGGCAGAAAACGGAGGAAGTATGACCACGATTATTTGAAGCTAGGATTTTCATGGACCGGTCCTGGCAGGGGCGGACTGGCGAATCACAGAACCGGGTCGGTTCACTGACGGCCGGCACCGCCCTTTATTTTAATTTTAATAATACTTACTTTGATCAAAAGCAAGTACCGGTCAAGGCTGCAGCCAGAGGATGATCTGCGTGTATTCCTGTCTACATTGCATCCCTGCATCACCCGCCTGTGCGCATCACAGACGCAGACTCATTGTTCCCACTAAAGTAGGGGTGAGTGTAATAAGGAGGCAAAGTTGACGTTCAGTGTGTTGCCGGGAGCATAGAAGGATTTATCCACCATGTTGAAAATGTTAAAAATGTTTAAAAAATATGTTTAAAACATAAAGATAAAAAGGTTTAAAAAAGTTGTTGTTGAATGTTTAAAGGAGGTGACGCTACTCAGCCAATCAAATTGGTGCAGTCAGTGAGCACGATATATTGGAGTCACTGAGTTGCTTTTAAACAAAGGTATCCATGCAGGAAGAGCAGAGTTTCACTGTGATCAAAATAACTGCAAAGCAGAAAGGACTGTTTATAATAGGGCTGTGCGATTATGGCAAAAATCATAATCACGATTATTTTTGGTCAATAATTGATATCACGATTATTAAATACGATTGTTCATTGACTTTGAAAACATCCATTTATTGAACTTTAAAACAAATACAAATAATAATTTGAACAGTATCTTTTTAACTGTTGATTACCCTGAACGTATAATTCAACTGAAAAACCAATACAAAAATAAATAAAATAAATGATACATTTATATTCACATTTAAATAAATAATATCAAAAATAATAAATACCAATAAACAAGATCAACAAATATTTTGGAGCGCACTTCAACAAGCTACTAAACATATGTAAATATGATAAATACAAATAAATTAGACTAAAATTAATTAGATCAAATATGTTGCAGTGCACTGTCACAACCTAGCAAAGCAAAATAATCGTTTTTTTCGATTATGTTATTTTCGTAATTGTGGCAGGCCAAAATCGTAATTGCGATTAATTGCACAGCCCTAGTTTATAATATCATTTACAATATATAAGTGACTGAAAATAGCATTTGAGAGTGAGGAGTATGACATGTCTCTGTTGTCCTGATGGAACTAGGGTACACCTCAACAGGTGGCCAGCAAATCAGAAGGCTCATACAAAGACACAGACAGCCATTCACACGCAAAAGGCAATTCAGAGTCGCCAATTCACCAAACACATGTCTTTGGACTATGGACTTTTGCCAAAACAAGATTGTTTGTTCTTATACGCTCATCCCCACCTCAACAACCTCAGTCCACAGCTGGGGTTAAACTGTGTCTAACCTGATGCTGCTGATGTCCAGCTCCTCCTGGATCTCTTTGGGGAAGAGATGGCGAGAGCTGCTGTCTCCGCTCAGACTGTCTGACACTATGAACACCAGGGGACACCGACTGGTCTTCACAAAGCGCCTGAAAGAACCACAGCAGGACACAATCTCACAAAAAGAGCAGGGAACACAAGGTGGCACATATAACTACTACCAAATACAATTACTAATACTATGTTTGTAGACCGAGCCGGAAATTAGCATCACAAGGACAAAAAGCAATGAGATTTTTTCAATTGGATTATGGAATATTGCAGAAAATAAGATCTGTGGCAAATACACGTTTATGATACTTGCATGTTTTAATAGTTGTAGCTTAAATGCAAAAGCCATAAGTAAAAAGCTAACGTTATTAAAGGCTTTAATACACACACACACACACACACACACACACACACACACACACACACACACACACACACACACACACACACACACACACACACACACACACACACACACACACACACACCACACACACACACACACACACACACACACACACACACACACACACACACACACACACACACACACACACACACACACACACACACACACACACACACACACACACACACACACACACACACACACACACACACACACACACACACACACACACACACACACACACACACACACACACACACACACACACACACACACACACACACACACACACACACACACACCACACACACACACACCACACCACACACAACACACACACACACACACACACACACACACTTAGTACATCTAACCAAAAACTTATTTTGACAAACATCTACTTGCTGACTAATTTCAATTTTATAAAAAGGCACTAAATTCCTAATGCTGAGGAACAAATGTCTCCAAGGTGGCAAGAAAGGTTTCAAGCCCCCTATAATTCCCATTTACACTGAAATGAGGGCAATGAAAGCTGCAAAGTGAAACAGCAGTGCTGGAGTTTCTGTGTGAAAGAAGTGCACAGTGTAAACTCACCTGAGGATATCGTGCAGGCTGTCAGGCTGCCTGTAGAACTGGTTTGGGAAATCCTGAGGAGGGACATGTGAGTGTCAAGTGTTGTCTCAGGTGTGTGAAAAGAGATCTAAACAAAGCAGCTTTACAACAATCACTGAAATAGTGAAATAGATAAAGGCTTCCAGGAGGAAATAATTGAGAATATGCCGAGGAGGAAAATGAGGAAGAGCTCATTGATTACAATCTAGTTTGTAAATAAATTACTATTCGTCACAATTATTGACGAATGCTCCTGTGCCAGTGGTTACAATGGGAGGGCCAGTGGATTGTTTCCCTTAATGTCTACCCCTGCAATGTATCTGGTATTATCAGATGATACAATAAGAGGCAGAAGAGAGGTTAATACATGACGACAACAAAACATGAACAGAACATGAACAGTACAGCATTTCAACATATAACTGTCAGAGAGAACTTTAGTCTTTTTAAATACAGTGGAGCATGTCAATGGGTAAGACTTTGAAAACCCTAACCAGTTGCATAGTTGGAGCTAAATACTTTTGCTTCAGGGATCATAAAAACTGTGGCAGCGCTGTAACAAAATAATGAGTCTTTAAATATCCCATCACGTCAAATAGGCATATGCCATACAACATGAGAAGTGCATAACAAAGAAAGACAGTTATAGAGACTCAGTTAAGCAAAACGCATCGCAGGTGCATTCAATAAAAGAAAGGGAACAATGTCTTCAGTGTAGTACAAACCTCCACCAGTATGAACTTCCTGTCTGTAGCTCCACCATCACCAACCATCTTCAGGCACTTGTACTTGTTTGCTCGGAGAAGGAAGTCCTGGAACTGGGTTGACTGGGAGGTGAAGGACAAACCGTTCGTCCTCCATTCTGAATTGTTTTTAGAAATAGAGACACATTAGAAAAAACCCTGGCAATTCACACATTTGAATAAAACACACAGCACATCGCTTTAAATGCCGAAGAAATGTATATATTCAAAAGTTCAAATGATGCAATATATATATTTTCTTGGTACGGTCCACTCTCAATCCTTAGCAATAATCCACATAACGTCTCAGTTTCAGTTCAACAAAAAAACATCTTCCTTAAATACCTAGTTCCCCCCCCACGCCACCTTAAATGAATACAGATAAAGGGGAGTTTTTCCATCAGAAAGGCAATCCTCTCTGAGGTGAATGATAATAGCCTGTATTGTTAGTGTGACAGTGACAGTGATAGGACAGGGGGCTTCCTCCTCACCATGCTGACTGCTGCTGTATGGCTCCTGGTTGGAGGGGTTAGTCCACTCCTGAACCCTGAGGTCCAGCTCCAGAGATAGAACCTTGACTGTGGCAGTCTTCCCACAGCCCGAGGGTCCCGTCAGCAGCAACACACCACCCTGTAACAGACACAGGTGGGAATTAGTGAAGTACAAATACTTTGTGCTGTACTTAAGAAGATTTGGCTTGTATCAGTACTTTACTCAACTATTTACTTTTCTGACAACGTTTCACTTTACTCCTTATATTTTTTAAACAAATACCTGTACTTTCTTTTCAAAACAGGCTTGTTACTTTAGTTTTAATCGGCATTGGGTGGTGTGATCATTATTATTTAAAGTCATTGTGTAGCTATTTCAATCTAATGTCATTCAGAAAACACGATCAGTGTATCCATCATTTCCTGGTCTTCTCCAAAGAAGAGGGACCAATGAGAACTCAGCTCGCGGCGCCTTATCTCAAACCGCGCCAGTAGCCTACGAGGCTATTTCAACAGAAGAAGGCAGAAGTCAGCAAGAAAAATATCGACCCGACCAACAGGGACATTCCTAATCGTCCATAGCCATTAAACAGTTGTAGTTTTGGCTACTTTTTACTTAAGTAATAACTGTTACATGTCTAATATGTGTAATGTGTAATGTGTAATGTAAAGCGATTTGTGCTCAAAGCGCTCTAATAAAAATGTAATTAATTATTATCATTATTTAAGTACATTTCAAAGGACATCCTTCTTCACTTTTACTAGAGTGAAAAAGTTTAGTAAGTACTTTTACCAGAGTATTTTTAAACAAGAGTATCTGTACTTCTAGTTGAGTGAAGGATGCGTGTACTTTTGCCATCTCTGGTAACAGAGAGCAGCCAAGCTAACCCTGCACTTTGACCTCCACAAACAGCATGTTCATGTGTTTAGGTTATTGTAGCTCAGACCAAAAGGTCAGCTCTTGACACTTCTTGGGGTGCGTCTCACTTCTCTTATTTTTCATTTCCTCGCTCCTCGGGCTCGGTATCACCGGAAGTTGATTTGTCTGCCCCATCTTGAGTAGCGTTCCAGTGGCCTTATTTTTGCCGGAGGACCGAGGATCGAGGAGCGAGGAGTGATAACGGAGGAGAGATAATCGAGGAACTACCAGACCATCCTCCGGTGAAATCCTCAGACACTCGCCCCGCCCCCTTACTGTGTATCGCTCACTGATTGGACGATGCAGCGCATGCACTGAGCTGGCTGCTGTCAGACGAACAGCTGTGCGGCGTCATCACAAGCGGACGTCGCTTCACGTGACGCTCCGGAGGAAAGGACGTCCCATTGCTCTTAAAACTCATTTCCCTGCTTCTCGTGGTTTCCTTGCGTCTCTCCATGCTTCCCTGGTGGGAGGGACTAGTCGCAGGGAAACGACGCAAGTGAGGGACGCAAGGAATCCATTTAACCGAAGTGAAACGCAGCCTTGGTCTCCAGACAGGACCAAGTACATAATAATACTCATACCTGAGATTTATATTGCCCTTTTCACAGTGCTCATAGATGCTTTGCAAGCTTGCAAGTTCTGAGACAAAAGAAAGTAGGGGGTGAGGTAGAGGACTAGAGTTCAAAGGCAAGAGTGAAAGTTGAGTTTTGAGTTGTTTTTTTATAGATGACAGAGTGTTGGAATTTTGTTATGACTGTGAAGGGAGTTCTACAGGGAAGGGGAGGTCCCAGGTCCAGAGCTAAGTCTTAGCTTAGTCCTGCTGCAGTAGCTTAGCATCAGCAGCACATTAGAATTAGCTTGTTTTGTTTGAAAGGAAGTAGAAGTTTTGGTAACTGAAATCATGAAACATTCATTACCTTTGATGTGTTTGTGTGAACTTTTATCCAGCTCTCCACTTCCTCGATCTTCTTCTTGTGGACAGCCAGCTCAGCCTACACAAACAGACAGTTTAGAAAAAATATTATAATTATTTAGCAGGCCTTATGGATTTAGATTTGAAATGTCTTCATTTGTCATATAGTTGGCCAAAAACATCTCAGTGTTGTAACCAAAACAAAATTGTTAACTGCCTTTACAGAAAATGTACTGTAGCAGAAATGTTTTAATATGATGACGAAGAATATAATCATATCAGCCACCTATCGTTTTTGTAAGATATTGAGCTAATACTGTATTGAAAGTGTAATAGTGAAAATAAATTGCCAATGTGTTTAGAACAGTTGAGGAATTCACAGCAGCTGTGTCCGAATGTATTCACTGAGATCAGAACAAATGTAAAGAGTGAGGATGCTGACCTGTGAACGGGGCGAGTGTCTGTCCACCCAGGACTCATCCTGGTCCCAGGGGGCGGGCTCTCTCAGCAGGGGGGGGGTGGGGGGCTCTGAGCGGCCTGCCTCTCCTGCCCTCTTCCTGGGCTTCTTTACCTCAGCCTTGGAGCTCACAGCCTTTCTCCTTCTGGACACAGCAAAGCTTTCTCCTGGCAATTCAGCGAAGGACGGGTCCACCCAGCGGTTCAGCTAATACAAAATACAGTCAAAACCAAGACATTTCATCAGAATCAGAATTCCTCTATTTGTCCTGTAATGGGAACATTTACATTATTACAACTTCAGAAGTATCGTGCAGATAAAGTGAAGGGAATAAAGTTAAATATAGAACATTTTAAAAAACTAACACGTTAAATACACAATAAGTACAAAAATAAATGTCAAATAGGTAGACCATGTTGAATAGAAGTTCTTTTTTTTTTTTAAGTGACCATATAAATACAGAGAAAAAATAAAGTGTGAATTGCACCAGGGTATATTGTACATGCGTGTATTTTGCACAAAGTTTAATATTAACAGGCAGTACATGGACATTGAAGGTGGATATCTAAAATAGATATACAATAGATCAACATTTATTTATTTAGCCTAACATCATTGATTCATAGACAGAAGCAGAAGTTAAATAACATTTGAAGGAGGGGGGGTTCTTTGTGTTCTCAGCGAAGAGCTGCTACATCTCCACTACAAGCCTGAAGGTACTCCTGTAAAAGTATGTGATTAAATTGTTGCTATGAAACAAATGGGACAACGATAGATTAAGAAAGATAAATTAAAAATAAAGTGAAAGATTAGTGGGAACAAATATGAAATGAAGTACGGTTAAAATCCTTTTAAAGCAACCCATTGTAGGTAAATCCTTCAATATTCTATAGATATGCGGTATACATACAGTATAGGCAGTGGTGGAATGTAATAAAGTATATTAACGCAAGTACTGTATTTTCAAATGATGCTACCTATTGCTTCACCTTGACTGCATTCTGGAATCCAATATTGTACCTTTACTCCACTACAATCATCTGACAGCTTTAGTTACTTCATAGATTTGGAATATTAGCTAATATATATATATATATATTTTTTTTTTAAATATATAATAATTATAGGATCAGATATACAGCAGCAGTACACAAAGTAAATAAAGTTAGCTCCACCTTCAACAACTGTGATAAACACATTGATGCTTCAACAATCTTAGTCAAGTCATATGATTCTGAAATGGGCCATATGCAAAACGAGTAATCTTACTTTTGGTACTTGATTATACTAATACTTGCATCAAAATACTTAAACTTGAATACAATTTTGAATGAAGGACATATACTTGTAAAAGAGTATTTTTACAATTTAGTATTGCAACTTTTACCAGAGTAAAAGTTCTGAGCACTACCTCCACCACTACATAGTACATATATACTCATAGCCAGTGGTGTAAATTAAGTACATTTACTCAAGTACTGTACTTAAGTACAATGTTGAGGTACTTGTACTTCACTTGAGTATTTTCATGTTATGCTGCAACATTGACAATAATTATACAAACATGTAATATTTTTTTATTTGAAATGGGCCTTATCGGAAAATCAGTACTTTTACATTTTGTATTTAAAGTATATTTTGATGCAAATACTTTTGTACTTTTACTTTGAGTACATGTTTTTAAAGCAGGACTTGTACTTGAAACTGAGTATTTTTACAATGTTTTTTTACTTTTACTCAAGCAAAATATGAGTACTTTTTCCACCTCTGCTCATAGCTCGCTTCTGTAAAACTAAACACACACATAATGTGATGTGGGAGGTGGGAGAAGTACTCAGATCTTGTATTTGAGTAAAAGTAGAAGTACCAGAGTGTAGGAATACTCTGTTAAAAGTAAAAGTCCTGCATTTAAAATGTTACTCAAGTAAAAGTGCAAAAGTATTAGCACCGAAATATACTTAAAGTACTAAAAGTAAAAGTAGTCATTGTGCAGATTGGTCCATTTCAGAATAATATATATATGATATGTTTTATAATGATTGATCATTAAAGTGTTCTCAAAGCTGGTAAAGGTGCAGCTAGTTTGAATGACTTTGTATACTGCAGGGTAGCTTGTGAATTTACTCCAGGTGGAACTAAAGTCTGATTTAACACTTGATTATATTTCACATTATTCATCCAGATCTGTAAAGTAACTAAAGATATTAAGTACATCGTAAAAGTACATCATTTACCTCTGAATTGTAGTGGGGTAGAAATACAGAATAGCAAAATTGTACTTAAGTAAACGTACTTAGTTACCACTGCATGTAGTGTACAGCTCGCTTTTGGAGAGCTAACCCCACACATAGTGTGATGTCATGGTACTGAAGACCTTACCTTGCTGGAAGCTGCTTTCTCTCCGCCGAAGAGTTTGTCCATCCTGCACCGTGCTGCCTCACATCGAGGCCAGCAGCTCAAGCATCACCTGCGACCCTGAACAGTGTGTAGTTGGTGGTGGAGATGCTTTTAGCTCGAGCTAACACAGGCAGCAAAACAATAAACACTTATATTTGTAGTATACAGCATAATAAAAAGGTGGGCGGAGGTTTAAGGTTCTGTATTACCTTAACTTCTTATCGTTGTTATTGTGCTGACACACATATTAACATATCCCCACACCTCAGCATATAATTTTTGTATTAACTACGACTACATTGTATTATATGTAAAAGTCTGGGGGTGTAACTACATCCACATGTGTACCGCAGAATGGTGGATATGTGAGCTAACTAAGTTGTTAGTTTGTATAAAGCCAATATAATATCTGTCTGAACTCACCTTGTTTGACCATGTGAAGCACACTCGTCTTTACCTTGTTAGGGTGAAATGAGAACTAAAGTGAATGTGTAAATCCAAGAGGGAGTACCGTAATATTACTAAAGAGTTGCTGAGGCAAACTGCAGTGTATCTATTTAAACGATTTAAACTCCGTGGATACGTCATGCCGCAAACTGTCTGTTTATTGACGTAAAACTGACGTAAAGCAACCAGTTCACTGCAGTGTTTGTGGAGGTCTGGCGTGTTTGCTAACATCAAGCTAGCTAACTAACGCCAATTCGACACATTTATCTTTTTCAGGTTCGTTTCTTAACATTTATCTTATATTCTAAAGAGAGTGTCTAGAATGGCAAGAAAAAATGATAATACTATTGTGTTTTGCAGGTGCCGTCATTACGACACGTGTTGTCTGCTAATAAGCTATGAAGATGAGGAAGCGACCAAACATTCTGCTAACAGGTGATCAACAACAACTACTACTGCTGCATGTCTGTCCGCCAGTGTTGGGAAGTGACTAAGTACACTTACTCTAATGCTGCAATTCTGAAGTACGACACTGGATGCAGAGGTAAACATTGTACTTTTACTCCACTACGTTTATTTAATAACTTTAGTTACTTTGCAGATTTGAATTTATGATAAACAATATAATAAGCACTAAATTAAGACTTAAAGGGGACCTATCATGCAAAATGCACTTTTGTACGTCTTTTATACATGAATATGTGTCCCCGGTGTTCCAGGGAACTCGCCAAGTGTCAGAAAACACAACCCTCTCTATTTTCCTCCATACCCAAATCTCTAAAAAAGAGACTGCAACGGATCTGATAAAAACTGATCCAGATTTGAACACTGGGTGTTTCTCAATCGCGAGTACGCTTGCTTGGTAGCACATGTCTTCCGAGTCACTTCCTTCAGAAGCGAGGCAAGAATCCTTCCTGGCATTCGGAAAACGAAGAGTGGAACAGGCTAGCAAGTGTGCAGGTGTGCGTCATATGAGAGGCCCCGCCTTACATTTTCTGCCACAGATTTGGGAAAATTGGTCCGTGCGCAAAGCATTGTGGGGATTTTAAGGACGCGAAGTCTACTCATGTGCAGCCTCGAAATTTCCCCCAAACCAAGGACGCGGCCTCGGTGGAATTCCAAGTATGCTGGACATTGGAACGGTCCTGCTGCGCCACTTGATGACGTAGCATCCTTGAAATATTGGCTTGGAAGCCAATATCCTCGTGATTGAGAAACGGCCACTGTCCTGACGTCAGGACGGTGGCGCTACAGCTATTGGGCCAACTCTCCACCTATCAGGGGAATGTGGGGTTGGGCCACGGCCGGCCATTGCCGCTCGAAAGCGCTGGAGACGCTGTAGTACATATGCCAGGCCTGTAAGTGGCGCTGTAGTCTGCCACAAAAGCAGTGAAGAAGACTTCCCGCGCATGGTTGCCATGGTTACCCTTCTGTTTATTCTCCGCTGTGGCTTTTTTTCTCCCTCCCCGAGACAAGCGTTTGCTCCCGCTGCTGTAATTCAATGCAATCCCTCCCCGTCGAGGCAAGCACTGTAATTCTCTCCGATTAGTCCACCAGCAGATGACAAACACCCACCTCTCCGCCTCTTCCAAGGAACGAGGGGACCGTACGGCAGAGTTTCAGTTAGATTTTTTTTCGCCGGTCAATATGTCCGTTAAAGTTTAAATCTTCCGGACAAAATTAGAAAAGTGCCGGTCAAAGGTCTTCTTTGTTATATATTGAGCTTTAAAACTAATGACTATATAATCATATAAGAATAAAACACAGAGGATGGAGATCTATTTTTCTCCCCCTCTTCTGACTTGATCAGAGCACGCTCCCCTCTCCTGCAGGGGGGCGTGGTCAGCTGCAGCTCACAGAATCAGACCCCTGCAAAAACAGGGCTGGAGAACAGCAAATAGAGCGAAATGAGGCATGGCTAAAATGCATGATCTGTTTGGTATTTTGAAAACAGAAACGTATAAATATACCTTATATAGGTATGGCCCTACAATATATCATTTAAATATAGCATGGTTGGTCCACTTTAAGTTACACCTGGAGTAAATGCACATGCTACCCAGCAGTAAATAAAGTCATTCAAAATGAATTCTACCTTTTACCAGCTTTGATGAACACATCAATAATTATAATTAAAACATATATATTGTATATTATTCTGAAACGGGCCAATCTGCATAGTGAGTACAGGATTTTTACTTGTAACAGAGTATTCCTACACTCTGGTACTTCTACTTTTACTGAAGTACAAGATCTGAGTACCTCTTCCACCTGTGTTTTTAGCTACATGCAGTCACGTCAGATTGGCATTTATCAGGATTACATTTTAATTTTGTATTTATATAGTTTGTCAATTTGAACAAGAATTCCGTTTTTAATGTTGGCACGTTTGACTCATCTTGTCAGGACCTGGTGATCATTATCAAACTAATACTTAACCCACATTTCTAACTATAAATGAATTATTAGATACCAGAGCAGAGGTGGGAGAAGTACTCAGATCTTGTACTTAAAGGTGGGGTAGGTAAGTTTGAGAAACCGGCTCGAGATACACTTTTTGTTATATTCCATGGAATGCTCTTAACATCCCGATAGCAATGAATATCTTAAGTGCTTTGACAAAAAATCCATAAAAAAATATCATCTGTGGAAGCCGTAGTACTGTAAAAAGCACGACCAATCATTTTAGCCGGCCCGGCTAAAATAACTGGATGGCCTACCTGCCTGTCAGCCTTCCATCTGTGCACAAACTTATCTCGTGCCCTCATTGGTCATGTGCGCGTTCGTGTGTGTTGGAGGAGGGGCTCTGTAAGGAAGTGGCAGATTGTTTCCGGCTGTGTATTTTCAAATTCTAGCGCACTCGAGCTGGTTTCTTCAAAATGTCATACCCCACCTTTAAGTTAAAAAAAAAAAGTGACTCAGGTAAAAGTACAAAAGTATTGGCATCAAAATATACCAGCTAGTTTGAATGACTTTGTATACTGCAGGGTAGCTTGTGAATTTACTCCAGGTGTAACTAAAGTCTGATTTAACACTTGATTATATTTCACATCATTAATCCAAATCTGTGAAGTAACTAAAGGTTTTAAATACATGTAGTGGAGTAAAAGTGCACGTGTTACCTCTGAATTGTAGTGGAGTAGAAGTACTAAGTACTCAAGTGAAGTACAATTGTACTTAAGTATAAGTATGTACTTATTTACCAACCCCCTGTATATTTTGTATATATTTAATTTACCCACACCACATCTCACCCGAACAGTTTTCCTGAACATAACTTCGGCGGTGAACAGCCTCTGCATGCTGAGCTCCGTCTGAACACTCAGCTGTAATCACAGACTGTGACTGTACGGACAGGTGTGGTTCTCTCAGGTGTTCTCATGTCATCATGACACCTGGAAGATTATTTACACAGCTGGTAAAGGTGCAGTTAGTTTGAATGACTTTGTATACTGCAGGGTAGCTTGTGAATTATTGATCATATTTCACATCATTAATCCAGATCTGTGAAGTAACTAAAGGTATTAAATACATGTGGTGGAGTAAAAGTACACGATTGACCTCTGAATTGTAGTGGGGTAGATTATAAAGTAGCAAAAATAGAAATATTCAAGTAATGTTTAAGTCTCTCAAATGTGTACTTAAGTACAGTACCTGAGTAAATGTACTTAGTTACTCTACACCACTGTACCAGACGGGTCAGATCCATCGGTATGGCTAAACCGCCTGATCATATCTCACCAGCTGATGTAGTATACATGGCTTTACCTTTTGAAAGTAGGGCAACACTAAATATCCATGTCCTGAATGTTACAGGTACCCCTGGTGTTGGAAAGACCACTTTAGGAAAGGAGCTGGCCCAGCGGACAGGGCTGTCCTACGTCAACATAGGAGACCTGGCACAGGAAGGTACACGGGTTACCCGGCTGTTCAAACAAATATTCCACTACTTGTATATATTTGCACTTTTGTCATATATATTCATTCATTTTCATATTTTCATACATTTTTGTCTACCAGTTTTTGTCTGTACTGTATACATATATGCATATATTTGTTACTTTAGTACGGTGGGAAATGGCATTTCCGTCTCCCTGTTTTGTACCAAACACTCCAAAAGAAACCAAGATTGGGACAAGCACCCACAGGATGGAGCATCCATCATCTAACTGTTTAATCACAAAGGAAAACCCTTATTGACCACTCTCTTTGTGCTGGTTTGAATCTTCTCTCAATGGGTCACTTCTAGACTTCTAATGCAATTCTAAGCAGATAAATATCAGAGATAATCCTGAATCTGTCTCCACAGGAGAACTTTATGATGGCTATGACGAAGAGTACCAGTGCCCAATTTTGGATGAGGACAGGGTGAGTTCATGCAAGCTCTTGACCGGGAGATGATATGCTGATCTGTATGCACATGGATATGACTTGGAAGTGCAGTCTGCACCACCCTGCTGCACGTCTTGGTTAAACTCACTGAATTCCCTGTGCCTCACTTTATTGCACATGACATATTTAAACCATAGGGTTCCGAAGTTGCAGAACGTTACCGAACTTGCCATCAACCAGCAAATGAAACCTCATCAGTTTGATTGAAAATGAATCAGACTACTACACAACATACATAAAAAAACACTTTTGTGACAGAAATGTAGGTCATATTTTTCTAATATGTATAATTGCAATCACCAATATATGTCACATTATTCTCTTTGAATAGCTGTAGGTGAAATTCTGCACAAACTGTTTTGTGTGGTAAGTTGAAATGGAGTGGAAACCTCAGCCAACCAGCACGGTGCTGGCGGGGTTTTGGAGCACCTCCTCAAAACACAACTCGGTGCACTAACATCTTGTAGAGAAGTGAAGGAGGAGGTGTTGCTGTTTCCTCCTTCTGCCACTCCATACTGTATTGTATGAAGACAAACCTCAGGCTTAAGGCCTTGCAAGCGGACTTTAATTTCTGTGAAACAAATGATTGCAAATGATTTCTACAGATTGAATTAGGTTAAGGGTATGTTAAAGTGGCCTTATTGTCCTTTTGCAGGTGGTGGATGAGCTGGATGACCAGATGGTAGACGGTGGGATGATCATTGACTATCATGGCTGTGACCTGTTCCCTGAGCGCTGGTTCCACATCGTCTTTGTCCTCCGCACAGACAACACACAGCTGTACACGCGGCTAGAGAGCAGGTAACGTACACTTCTGATATACAGTGAACCTGGATGTCTTTCCCGCATCCAACTAGGGCCTGCAATGTGCTAAGATTAAAAACACTCACACATAGTGGCATGCAGAATCTCAGTGGTGTGCCACTGCTGGGGCACTATAGACTATTGTTCAAATGCTGCTCAAAATGTCATGTTCTGTAATGGCTGATAACACTCCCAACAGGCAGGTCTGAATGTTACCCCCATTTGCCATGGCTACAAATGGTACAAAAGCTCTACCTTCTGACATGTTTGCATGCAAAATTACTTTTCTTGATTATCAAAACAGTTGTAGATTTTATTTTTTTAATTTAATTGACTAAATATTTGCAGCACTTCTGTGTAACCGCACTGAAGAAACATTGATGGCTTGACTAATCCCTGTCTACCACTCAAGATTCAAGATATTTTGTCTATTGTCATATGAACAGTATTAACGGGCAGTTGTACTGAACAATTAAATGATTACACTCAGCAACTCAACTCTATTGGGCAACCCCTTAGATATGTTTAGTTATGAATTGAATTCAAAGATTCAAAGGCTTTATTGTCATATGCAGAGTAGCTACAGTGTAGTTATGCCAATGAACCTTAAGTCCCAAGCCCCTCCAACAATGCAACATAATGTATAAGACATAAAATGATAAAACAAATTTAAAAATAGTGCAAGAAGAAACAGAGTAGAATCAAATAGTGCAAGCTATGTTGCGAGACCAATATGCAAGTAATGCTGATGAAGAAAACTATATACATGTCTGCTTTACTACACGAGGACCCTGCTCCACTCATTAGAAGGTTGTTGCACTCTGTCTGAGGTGGACTCTGTTTGATGACAGGGGGTACGCGGGGAAGAAGCTGCAGGACAACGTGCAGTGCGAGATCTTCCAGACTATCTACGAGGAGGCCATGGAGGCCTACAGCGAGGACATCGTCCACCAGCTCACCAGCAACACTCCTGAGGACATGGACCGCAACCTGGAGCAGATCATCCAGTGGTCTGAGCAGTGGGTGAAGGACAATAACTAGAAGCTGGACTCTGTCAACAAAAGTTATTTGGACACTTAAACATAAATGGTAAACTACATTTATTTTCACAGACTTATGATATTTTCTTCAGTGGCTTGGCAAATGGTCGGACTTTAAAGCAGTGGATGGTTATCTATTAAAAAAAGGTATCGAACAGGCTTACTGACACAAGTCGGAAGCCATAACATGATGTGTAACAGAGCGTACTGGCTTCAAGTCATAGCACTTGTGTACTGCTGCATTCGTGTCATATTTTTGATAATAAATGACTAATGGTAAACAACATTGTCACAATTTCCTTGTGATAGGCCTACTGACATTATTACACAACACTCGTTAGGTAAAAGTCATTGGAGTAACTGTTAACCCCAACTTCTAAGTCTTTTTACTTTCATCAGATATAGCCTGATTTAATTGTTTAAAAATATCCACATTTTATTTAAAGGGGACCTATCATGCAAAATGCACTTTTGTACGTCTTTTATACATGAATATGTGTCCCCGGTGTTCCAGGGAACTCACCAAGTGTCAGAAAACACAACCCTCTCTATTTTCCTCCATACCCAAATCTCTAAAAAAGGGGGCTGCAACGGATCTGATACAGACTGATCCAGATTTGAACACTTCACTGACGTCACAGAAGTGGCGCTACGGCTATTGGGCCAACTCTCCACCTATCAGGGGAATGTGGGGTTGGGCCACGGCCGGCCATTGCCGCTCGTAAGCGCTGGAGACGCTGTAGTACATATGCCAGGCCTGTAAGTGGCGCTGTAGTCTGCCACAAAAGCAGCGAAGAAGACTTCCCGCCCATAGTTACCATGGTTACCCTTCTGTTTATTCTCCGCTGTGGCTTTTTTTTTCTCCCTCCCCGAGGCAAGCGTTTGCTCCCGCTGCTTTAATTCAATGCAATCCCTCCCCGTCGAGGCAAGCACTGTAATTCTCTCCGGTTAGTCCACCAGCAGATGACAAACACCCACCTCTCCGCCTCTTCCAAGGAACGAGGGGACCGTGCTGCAGAGTTTCAGTTAGGTTTTCTTTCGCCGGTCAAGATGTCCGTTAAAGTTTAAACCTTCCGGACAAAATTTGAAAAGTGCCGGTCAAAGGTCTTCTTTGTTATTTATTGAGCTTTAAAACAAATGAATAACGACTCTATATAATAAAACACGGAGGACAGAGATCTATTTTTCTCCCCCTCTTCTGACAGCCCAGCAGCTGATCAGAGCACGTCTCCCCTCTCCTGCAGGGGGGCGTGGTCAGCAGAATCCGACCCGTAGACAGCAAACGGCACATAGAGCGAAATGAGGCATGGCTAAAATGCATGATCTGTTTGGTATTTTGAAAACAGAAACTTATAAATATACCTTATATAGGTATGGCCCTACAATATATCATTTAAATATAGCATGATAGGTCCACTTTAAAGAACATTGACATTTGAGAACGTAGCTACTCTATTTGGATTATGCACTGCATTATTATAAATTAAGGAAACTAAAATGTCAAGTCCTTTTTTAATTTGGGCCGAGCATTATCAACTGTCTTGTAAAGGGGCCATGTCAAGATATATATTGTTTATTCCTTCATGAATAAGTGTTAAAATGATGGTTTAAGGGACAACTACTATCTGGTCCATGTGGGATGGTCCGGCAGTGGCTCACTCAGTAGGGGCTTGGACTGTGAGACCTAAATATGAAATATGGACTGCTACTTGGAGAGGTCCCTGTTCACCTCCTGCCCTGCCGTGGTGCCCTTGAGCAAGGCACCGGACTCCCCCCCCACTCCCATTGCTCCCCGGGCGCTGTACAATAGCTGCCCACTGCTCCTAGTACTAGACTCCTGGTACTAGGATGGGTTAAATGCAGTGGCCAAATGTCACTGTGTGTGCTGTGTGCTGTGTGCTCTGCATGTGTGACCATTAAAGAGGGTTTCATCCCTCCCCAATTCTTCTTCTTCTTTTAAATTCTAGTTAGGTGCTTCAGGTAAATATTGGATTCTGAAGATATTTGAGCTACTTTTGTATTTCAAGCTTTTCTGTTCCCTAAATGTTACTTTTATGCTGTGCATTGAAAATGTTGTGTCACCAGATATGACCTTCAGTGGTGTAGGATATCAGATAAAGCCTGTGAGTTGTGGCTCCAGGTCATAGATCCTGTGTAAATAATCTTCCAGGCGTCATGATGACATGAGAACACCTGAGAGAACCACACCTGTCCGTACAGTCACAGTCTGTGGATACAGCTCAGTATTCAGACGGAGCTCAGCATGCAGAGGCTGTTCACCGCCGAAGTTATGTTCAGGAAAACTGTTCGGGTGAGATGTGGGTAAATTAAATATATACAAAATATACAGGGGGTTTGTAAATAAGTACATTTACTTAAGTACAATTGTACTTCACTTGAGTACTTAGTACTTCTACTCCACTACAATTCAGAGGTAACACGTGTACTTTTACTCCACTACATGTACTTAATATCTTTAGTTACTTTACAGATGTGGATTAATGATGTGAAATATAATCAAGTGTTAAATCAGACTTTAGTTCCACCTGGAGTAAATTCACAAGCTACCCTGCAGTATACAAAGTCATTCAAACTAACTGCACCTTTACCAGCTTTGAGAACACTTTCATGATCAATCATTATAAAACATATCATATATATTATTCTGAAATGGACCAATCTGCACAATGACTACTTTTACTTTAAGTATATTTCGGTGCTAATACTTTTGCACTTTTACTTGAGTAACATTTTAAATGCAGGACTTTTTCTTGTAACAGAGTATTCCTACACTCTGGTACTTCTACTTTTACTCAAATACAAGATCTGAGTACTTCTCCCGCCTCTGATTACATCACATGTGTGTGTTTAGTTTTACAGAAGCGAGCTATGAGCAGAGGTGGAAAAAGTACTCACATATTTTGCTTGAGTAAAAGTAAAAAAACATTGTAAAAATACTCAGTTTCAAGTACAAGTCCTGCTTTAAAAACATGTAGCCTACTCAAAGTAAAAGTACAAAAGTATTTGCATCAAAATATACTTTAAATACAAAATGTGAAAGTACTGATTTTCCGATAAGGCCCATTTCAAATAAAAAAATATTACATGTTTGTATAATTATTGTCAATGTTGCAGCATAACATGAAAATACTCAAGTGAAGTACAAGTACCTCAACATTGTACTTAAGTAGGACAGTAGGCTACTTGAGTACTGACTTTTTGTACTTTTACTGAAGTACAACACCTGAGTACTTGTCCTTCTCCCACATCTGAGAATATACATACATAAAAACATGTTACATTTTAAATAAATGTATAAATCAAGTCCTTATGAAAGACACGGTGTTGAACTAGTTGTGCTGCTGGTGACATGAATGTTTTCTGACCGCTTTATGGTATCGTTTATCTGTCGGAGATTTTCCAGTGAACCGGCAGTGGCTAACTTTACACTTCCTCCAGGATCATTTTTCACGTTATCCTGGAAATAAAGAAATAACTAACTTTCTTAGTAAAACGTATTTACACTTCAACGTTTCTGTTGAAAAAGAGGATGACGTGCCTTCAGTCAAATGTTCAATTAGAATCCCTTCAAAATAAAGGCCCTGAAGTTGTATCAGATGTACAACAATATTTATTATAAATTGGTGTGTTGACATGTAGTAGACCTATATGTGTTAAGGTTAACTAAGGGCAACATTATTATTTATTATTATTATTATTATAAATATGAGCTCTTTATTGAACAAGGACCATGCATAAAAAGACATTAATCTCAAAGAGAAAATATGCTTTATGCCACATTATAGCTAAAAGCTCATTTCCGACTGCAGTCCTTGGGCAGGTACACTGTACACATAACAATCAACACACATTGCATTACATGTTAGCCTACTTGTTAGACGCTTTTATCCAAAGCGACTTACATAGGCCTACTCAATACTGTGGGCAATCCCCACAGGAGCGGTTTCGCCGCTGCGAGGCTCCACTAGCACAATAAATAAGAGATTAATTAAAGAATGCCTTAGTATCCAGTTTTGTCGTTTTTGTTCATTTGAGATTTAGAAGTCTTATTTTGAAAGGTTATTTGGCGGCTGGGTGGGACGCCATGTTCGGTTTGTCCAGCAGAGGGCGCCGTGCTCTGCTTACACACTACACCGGTGCTGTGTGCTAGTCGGAAGTGCACTTTATTTCCACCGTGTTTAGGTGGCTTCGGACACGTATGGACAAACGTGTGAAGTACAATGGGTAAGATTAAGATTTTGAGTTCATAAAATAGGATAATGTTCTGTTAGTGGGAGCCACAAGAGCTAACGTGCCTGCGGTGTTACAGCGGCTCCCCTCATAAATCCTCTCTGCTTTTCAATGTCACCTTATGAGCCGGCGAATGAACAGAGTGGAGTAGGTTCACTTCTGTGGTACTGTTGTGGTTTATTCAGATATCTATTTGGTCCCACCCCATTGTAGTGTGTAATCAACCAATATAGAACAGATACTACACCGCACCACAAAGGAGATAACCAGAGTTAATGGACAGTCAATTAGAGCATTATGTTGTACAGTCTCACTGACCAACATGTCCTCTCTTTTATTTGTCATACTTTTCTTGTGAGTGTGGCACCCTAACCAACCAAACCCTGTTACCCATATTAACAGCATAAGACAAATTCATTTCAAAGTTATCTTTCTATAGTTAAATATAAGTCTGTCCTTGCCTTGAACGTAGCATTACATTCCGCAGCTTAGCATTAAGCCTAAGCATGGTCATATTGCAATAATTAACACTTTTTCTTATCAATTAACTCAAAATGGACACAACTGTGATTCAATTATAGTTAGATCAAGAGGTTGATAGCATTTTTAAAATGGCTTTCTATTGATTTCATAGTTCTAGCCCACCATTGAGCACTGTCAAAAAGTAACAAATAAAACATCAAATTAAATATGTACCATTGAGGTCTGAGCGGGCCAAATCAGTTTTTGTGATGTTTACTACCTGATTTTCTCAAATACAAAACTGAAAAATTAGAAAGAAAGGGTTCAAATTGTTCAAATGTTAAGGTATAAATGTCCTCCAGCTCTGGATTAACCCATGTATTGCTGTGTTGTTACATTGGTTTACCTGCTACTGGGCTTTCTTTCCCCTACACTTGTACTGGGATATGTGTTATGTTACCAGAATCTCCAGAGGAATGATAAAGAGGAATGAGCAAGCTTTTTTTGTTAGTTAATATCTTGGTGCAAGCTTTTTTTATTTTATTTTATTTTATATGATACTTTTAAAAAGTTCTAGGAACACAAGCATACATTTAAAAGACATGTCCTCAGTGTGTACCTACGTAATCTTATTATGACGATCAGTTTTAAAAAATTGTTACAAATAATAATGAATAGGCGCTTTCACACCGCAGTACTTTTCCCACAAAGGTTCATCAGAACTTAGTTCATCAGAACTCTTTAGTTCTCATGAACTAAGTACAGATCGTGTTCACACCGGAATAAGTCCCTGGGGGAGGATTAGGCAAAGGAAGCAGCTGACGTCACTTCTTCTTCTTCTGCTTTGGGTTTACTGGCAGGCCGCAAACAACTTCACGGCGTATACTGCCACCCGAAGTCCCCGGAGTTGGGGACTGGCTTCAGTAGAAGCTGCTGGGACTCCCAACAGCTTCTACTGAAGCCTTCAGAGTAAATCACCAAAACGCTGACACCTCCTCATCTCCACCGCTCCCATGTTTTCTTTTGTGTTGCCATAAGTTAGTCTCTCTGCGTTTGTGCGCTGGGCTAATGCTAATAATGCTAATGCGAGGATAATAAAATGGCGGCTTTCCAAAACTTTTTGGGAGTTTTACGGGGCGTGGTTTGCAATCCGCCCAGCCAATCAGACATAGGAACCTTTTTCTCCCACGAAAGTCCCTGCTCTCTAGCAGGGACTGAAAAGTGGGTAAAAAGGTTCTCATGAACTCATTTTAGTTCCGTATTTTTTTGGTGTGAATTCTACATTTCGGAACTAAAGTGGGAAAAGTACTGCGTGTGAAAGCGCCTTATGTATTATTATGTCAAATGTTTGTGTGACATTTGACAACCATATATTTGCATTTGAATTCAAAGTCACAGCTATTGCTAATAAGTTGCCAAGTTGTGGTACCATTTATATATGTGTTTGTTAAGGTTGATGGAAGCTAATGTTCAATTACGTAACACAAACAGAAAGTTGTCTTTTTCACTTTCCTCAATCAGTCAATCAATCAAACATTATGTTTTTATTTGTTTCCAAATTTTCTGTAATAATCCAGTTGTCATTCTGGAGTGACTTTTAAAAAAAAAGTGCTTGTGTCGTGCACTCATTTGCGAGCAAGAGTCACAGCTGAAATATCATCTAATGCAGAAACATGGCTTATTAAAGTGAAGATGGCTGGAGCTGTGAGTCTCACTGGCTGTTTGCTGCGAGTGATTTACGGAAATGTAAATGTACTGCATTTATCTAACACTTTGAGCTGTTTCTCATTCAACCATTCAGACCAACACTCAAACACTGAAGGCAGCGAGCTACAATGATATAAACATCTGGAGCATTTGGGGTTATAGTCTCCTTACAAATGCAGGCTAATGATGAGCGTTCATTTGTCTCCTGTGTGCTCACAGAGATCAGCAATAATGCCACAGCCCAGAATGATGCTGGTGGTGACGGGAGATGACTTTGGCTACTGTCCCAGAAGAAACCAGGGGATTGTGGACTGCTTCAAGTCTGGAGGCATTTCCAATGTGTCCCTGCTGGTCAACGGCTGTGCTGCCAAGGAGGCGGCAGATCTGGCTCAGAGGTACGGTCACGACGGGGCACGCTTTTGAGTAACTAAAACAGTGTTACAATCAACTTGTGTAAGTAAAAAACTCTATATGATCAATGTTATTGTAATGGCGAAAAATAAAGAAACAAAACAGAAAATGTACTCAAAATAAAACTGCCACTCCAAAAAGTGAACCTTATGCAGGGAATCATTATCCAATGTCCAGGCAAGAACGTCGTTTTGTCGTTTTTTGTCGAGGATCCAATATCCAACATATACAACAATGGTTTCCCGGATATTGCGTAGAACTTCCGGTAATTTCCCTCATCCACGTGGCTCGTAGATCTCAGCTGTGTCAAATGAATTGAGAGGGAAAATAACTCTGGATTCGGCTTTTGGGGTATTTTACCAATTTTAGGACATAATTGAATAAATAGGACTTTATTTAAATAAAGGTTAATTCAAATGTTGCTACTGGGTAGTTGATTTAGTCATTCCACGGGCCTCGTTTATTCCTGACAGTTGCTCAGTTGCGCATAAAGCCGATCTTGAGAGCAAAACGTTACAAATGACCCATCATGGCTGCCTGTCGAGCAGATCTCCCGCTCTCGGCTCAGTCAGATGATTGGAGAGAGAAAATAAATCTGGATTCAGCTTTTAGAGCCTTTAAAACTAAAAAACCCTAATGATTCAAATAAGCGCTATAAAAGTGTTCCTTTTGGGTAGTTGATTTGGCAAATCAGAAATACTATGTAATATAAGTCAATGGGAAAAGGCCTTTTTGGGTGCAGTGACGTCACAGACTGACACAGAAGTTGAAGTACTGCCGTTTGGGCACTTCAAAAATGTGCTTCCACATCCCGCGCACTTCCTGGGGGCTTCCGCAGTACTTTTCCCACTTTAGTTCCGATATGCATTCACACCAAAGAAATCCGGAACTAAAATGAGTTCATGAGAACCTTTTTACCCCCTTTTCCGTCCCTGCTAGAGAGCAGGGACTTTCGTGGGAGAAAAAGGTTCCTATGTCTGATTGGCTGGGCAGATTGCAAACCACGCCCCGTAAAACTAAAAAAAGGTTTTGTGGAGCCGCCATTTTATTATCCTCGCATTAGCATTATTAGCATTAGCCCAGCGCAGAAACGCAGAGAGACTAACTTATGGCAACACAAAAGAAAACATGGGAGCGGTGGAGATGAGGAGGTGTCGGCGTTCTGGCGATTTACTCGGAAGGCTTCAGTAGAAGCTGCTGGGAGTCCCAGCAGCTTCTACTGAAGCCAGTCCCCAACTCCGGGGACTTCCGGCCGGGGACTCTGGGTGGCAGTATACACCGTGAAGTGGTTTGCGGCCTGCCAGTAAACCCAAAGCAGAAGAAGAAGAAGTGGCGTCAGTGGCTTCATTTGCCTAATCCTCCCCCAGGGACTTATTCCGGTGTGAACGCGATCTGTACTAAGTTCATGAGAACTAAAGAGTTCTGATGAACCTGTGTGGGAAAAGTACTGCAGTGTGAAAGCGCCTAAAGAAGGGGTAGTACCAGTATTTGGCCACTATGTAAAAACTGCCCCTTAATTAGCGACATTTTACCACAACCCTTACATATTTCCCCCTTGATCACTTGTGGACTGTTTGTCATATTATGGGTTTTAATTGATACAGTATACAAAAAAACGCATTCACAGTTGAATTGCTTTTGAACAAAATATGTGCACGCTACCTCTCCCCCTGTTCGAAAAGTTCTGTAGTAGCTTGGCTTCATTCACCATGAAAAACATTAGGTAAACATCTCCTGAGGTTTTGACCCACACCTTATGTGTGGATCTGGAACATTTGGTAAATATTGTGTCGCAGCAGTATCAGCATCAGCAGGTCGGCGTGTTTCCTTTGGTAAAAGTACCTCAGAACTCACACACCTCACACACTTCTTGTTGTATCCCAATGCACACACACCTGGCACAAAGTTTAAAATTATAAAAGTAAGATGGCTTTGAGAAGCCTTGCAAAATGTAATTGTAGCTTAGTATAATGAAAAAAGCAACAAGTACGTTTGTTAATCTAGTTAATGACATCCTTGGTTGTTCATGCAATGTTCCATATTTTCTGTCTTTAAAATACCTGCTAGCTCCTCAGTACAATGTGTGTGTAATGTCCAAACTCGTCATTCAAAGAACAGCAAGAGATGAAGCGTGTTTTAGAGAGTGCTTCTGACACAGACCATCTCTGTTGTTCAAAGATTCAAAGGCTTCATTGTCATTTACACAAAAGTCACAGCAGAGTTTTGCCAAAGAAAATCGGATGTTCCAGGCTCCTCCAATAACGAGGATGAGATCAAAACAGAATGTAAAATGAAATACTGTAAAGTGGAATAACATAACATGGTGTTATCAGGAAACTCAGGACATTATGAAACAAATCATTCATGGAGCACATTGGATTCTGCACAACTGACATTTTTAGCCAACATCCCATTCAAATAGATGTCTTTTCTTTTAGGCACAATATCCCCATGGGTCTCCATGCCAACCTGTCAGAGGGCGTTCCGGTGTGCCCCAGCCTCCAGCAGGCCTCCACCCTGACCAACCAGCGCGGCTTCTTCCACGGGAAGACGGGCTTCCGCCAGGCCCTGGAGGGAGGCCAGCTCAGCATGAAACAGGTACACTGCTCCAATGTGTTAGCATGTATCAACCTACAGGCACAGGACCCTGGAAAACATGCCAACAGCCATGACACTTTCAACTGCTCACCTCTGGCTGGCAGAGCACTCACTGCTCCATAGTTTTAGTTTATCCCCTCCATAGAGTCTTTTAAAGAACAGTCTTACCATCAACAAACTTTTTATATTGAGTATTCTTTATCTATCTCTCGTCAAGATTTTTGTGTTTTTACTCATGATGTTCTGTTACAGAATTAAAACAATGAACACAATACAGTAAATGCAGTAGTAGAATGGAATGAAGTACATTTACTCAAGTAGGACTAGATTTATTTGATGAGTTACTTTACAGATTCAGGTTATTAGTTAATACAACATTTAAATACACGGATAAATAAACATTGACATATAATTATGTATCATTTATCCTCTGTAATGAACACATTAATGCATCGATAATCATCATGCAGTCAATATATATGGTTCTGAAATGGGGTATAAGGCATAACAAGTACTTTTACTTACTTAGTACTTTAAGTATAATTGTATGCTAATAATTACTGTACTTTTACTTAAATAAGATTTTGAATGCAGGACTTTTACTTGTAAAAGTATTTTCTTCCACCTTATTTTAATGTTATCTGCAATGCACAATACACTGCCCAAAGACCAGAGGAGTTAAATACTTTAAACATATTCAAGTTTTAAATCCTGTGCAGTGTGTACCCCAAACTTTCTCTGGAAAGGAAAGTATGTTTGAGACAGAAACGTAATAATATATATCAAACACACAGAGGCGTTATCTGCCAGAGCATGACGCATGCTGGAGGGTGGTTACTGGCACAGAGTCACACTCTACAAGACAACCCCGTTTGTTTGGCTGTGTGGGGTCACACTTTAAGGCCAAATAGCTCAGTATTGTTAACTAGCCAGACTCCTGTTTCTCCTCTACGGTATTGCTACAGTTGAGCTTTTTCCTTCCCAGGTGGAGCTGGAGTTGAGGGCTCAGGTCCAGCTGTTCAGGGATCTGACGGGTCACCTGCCTCACCACATGGACGGACACCAGCACGTCCATGTCCTGCCAGGTAGTGTCAAGTCAAGTCTGGAAGAAAAAGCAACTTAAACATGCTGACTTGTATCCGTGAAGAGATCTGACATTCAAACACACCTTGGGCAAGCTAGTTCAGTACGTAACAAATTTGAATATGCAAACATCGACTAGGAACAGGGAAAACAGGCCTCGACACAAGACCGGCAAATAAACCTGCAGAGGTGGGAGAAGTACTCAGATATTGTACTTCAGTAGAAGTAGAAGTACCACAGTGTAGGAATACTCCAGGTGTAACAAGTCTGATTGAGGACAGAGCCTTCCACTCTGCGGCCCCCTCTGGAACTCACTCCCCAAAGCCATCCGTGACTCCCCATGTTCAAATCACAAATCAAATCTTACCTTTTCAGATCTGCTTTTAATCTGTAATTAATGTTGTGTTTTCATATTTTAAGTGTGTTGTTTTAATTATGTTTTAATGATTTTTACTTTAATGATTTGTAAAGTGTGAAAATGCATTATTATTATTATTATTATTATTATTAAAGTTTTGAATATATTTCACATCATTAAAGGTGGGGTAGGTCATTTTGGAGAAACCAGCTCGAGATCGCTAGAATTTGAAAATACACAGCCGGAAGAAATCTGCCACTTCCTTATAGAGCCCCTCCTCCAACATACACGAACGCGCACATGACCAATGAGGGCACGAGATAAGTTTGTGCACAGATGGAAGGCTGACAGCCAGGTAGGCCATCCAGTTATTTTAGCCGGGCCGGCTCAAATGATTGGTCGTGCTTTTTACAGTACCACGGCTTCCACAGATGATATTTTTGTATGGATTTTTTGTCAAAGCACTTCAGATATTCATTGCTATCGGGATGTTAAGAGCATTCCATGGAATATAACAAAAAGTGTATCTCGAGCCGGTTTCTCAAACTTACCTACCCTACCTTTAAGGTACTGATCTGTAAAGTAACTAAAGGTAGTAAATAAATGTAGTGGAATAAAAGTACAATATCAGATTTACTCTACACTGTCCTGTGTTTAGAACATTTGAAAATAATCCAAACTAAATAATGGTATCAGTGAAATTCATATTTTCCTTTTTTTTTTGGCTCTTGGCTCTTTTGGCATAATTACCCTCAAGTTACAAGTGTAGGGAGGCGGAGAGAGAGTCTGCAATCAGAACTGTACCAAACAGCAAAACAAATATGATTTAAGAGACTCTCGATTAATATATATATATTTTACATTTTATTTAGCTAACGCTTTTATACAAAGCGACCTGCAATAACTGCATTCAACCATGAATATATATGTATTGATGATAAAAGTATATTTAACCCTCCTGTTGTCTTCGTTTCCCCCCCTTACTTTGGTGTTCGCGGTCAAATTTGACCGGTCCTGTTTTAACTGCTATTACATTAACACAAAAACCTTTAATCATCAACAAATTTCATTTAATACCCTTTCAAACTGTACATATTGTATCAGACTACTGGTATACATGAAACACTGCAGTACATATACAAAGAATAGACACTGAACATGTATTGCGTGTGCCAGGTGTGATCCATGTGGGGGGATGGGCACATAAGAGCGGGAAGTGTGTGTGTGTGTGTGTGTGTGTGTGTGTGTGTGTGTGTGTGTGTGTGTGTGTGTGTGTGTGTGTGTGTGTGTGTTGTGTGTGTGTGTGTGTGTGTGTGTGTGTGTGTGTGTGTGTGTGTGTGTGTGTGTGTGTGTGTGTGTGTGTGTGTGTGTGTGTGTGTGTGTGTGTGTGTGTGTGTGTGTGTGTGTGTGTGTGTGTGTGTGTGTGTGTGTGTGTGTGTGTGTGTGTGTGTGTGTGTGTGTGTGTGTGTGTGTGTGTGTGTGTGTGTGTGTGTGTGTGTGTGTGTGCCAGGTGTGATTCACATGGGGGGATTGGGCACATAAGGGGGGGAACACATCTAGGCTATGTGTGTGTGTGTTTGATCTGATCCGGATGGTTACTAATTCCTTTTCTTTATGGCGGTCATTTTTGAGCGGGAACACCATGGGTGTTACAAAGTTGACTAAATCATCCAAAATGCAATGAAAGTGGTGATCAGCAATTTTACATGTTCAAATGTCTACTGTGAAGGATATCATAAAGCCTTAATGCAATCGAATATAAAACAAAAAAAGTTATGATTGATGAAAGTAGTAAATCGGTCAGATTTGACCCGAAGACAACAGGAGGGATATATATATACTTTTATCATCAATATCGTGTATTTGGACTACTGTAGGTCTATATTTGACATTCAGATGTTTGACTTGTTTTTCTTTAATTGTTGGTCACAATAGTCTGCATTAGGTGGAATGTTCCTGTATGATGTGTGTGTAGATGTGTACCTGAGTCCTGATGTTGCTGCTCTGTGTTCCAGAGGTGCGTGAGGTGTTTGCACTCGTCCTGTCAGACCTCCAGATTCCGTTCACTCGTGTTCCCCTGGAGCCCGGTCTGCAGGGCTGCCCCGCGCTACCAGCACACCTCCAAAGATTCTACGCTCAGGTGGAGAAGGACGCCCGGGACTCCATCCCTGTGTTCACCCGCTACGGAATCAGGTCTGTGGACTGAGCTCAATGAATCCTCTCAATGGTTCGACTGGTCTGACAGAGGTTTAGAGGAGGGTCCTGAGTCCTGGGATCAGATGGATAAACTGGTGTTCATAAGGACAGAATGGGACCACCTCACACAGACTTCAGAGTGAACAGGCTTTTATAGAGCAAGCGGAGGGTGATGGTTGAAGTGGAGATGAAATATATAAAGTGAAAGACAGAATCTAAAACATTGTTTTGATTGACAGCTTATATCACAGTTTGTTTTTTGTCGGCAATCAACATATTTTAGCATTATTAAAGAGGCCCTATTATGCTTACTTGTGTTTTTCCCTTTCCTGTAGTGTGTTATATAGGTTTTCAAATGGTCTGCAAAGTGAGTTTGTGTTTTCATGCAGGGTGTCTTAAAAAGTATTAAAAGTTGATAAATAAATTTAGCGAAAGATTAAGGCTATTAAAATGTGTTAAAGGTCCCATGTCATGGCCATTTCTACTGATCATAATTCCATTGTTGAGGTCTACTAGAATAGAGTTACATTGTTCAATTTTCCAAACTCACATTGGTTTCTCATACAGCATCTCTGTATAGCATGTGTATTCACTCTGTCCTAAACGGCTTGTTGGAGCTCCTGCCCCCCCCCCCCCTCCCTGTGAGCCCACTGTGCTCTGATTGGTCGGGACGTTGCGAGGCTCGTTGCTCTGTGAGCTGGCTTACTGGTGTGGTTTCCGGGTCGGCGATACAGCGGGACAGCGCAAAACTCATCCTGAGCACACACACACTCACACCCGAAGTAAAAACAATAAGTGTGGCTTAATATTGAGTAAGAAAAGGGTTTATAACGCTGTGAGAATGGGTCTGCGGAGAGCATTTCTCCGCGATCCCAACTCGTCTCTTACCAACCAGGGAGCTCTATGCAAGTCAATGGGACTCCCTGTTAGTTGAACATTTATGCTAAAGGTACCTTCATAACACACAAGGGGACGGGTAATAACCAGAAAAGCATGACATGGGACCTTTAAACGGCATTTTCCAAGGTATTAAGAAGGTCCACAGTAACGACAACATGAAACACCCTTTAATTTACTGCAACGACATGTCGGGAAACCCCCTCAAGGCAGCCCCATGCATAGCACGCCGTAAAATGCTGCTTCTTATTTTAAGTTGCGTTGCCTTGCTCCGCTCTGGGGGGGGGGGGGAAAGAGTGTGTTGGGGTGCCACTGATGGTGACGAAAGCTGGTTTGAGGGCCCCCCACAGACTCTAGAATCGCCACTGTCGATGGGGATCAAAGCTGTCCGGTCCCACATGCTAAGTGCTAGCCAGAAAGCCGCAGCGTTTAAGTCCCAACTCTCCCGATGGCCAATCCGTGCCATCGCTGACACACACCGCTGCAGTGCAGACTCTCTGCACGGAGGAGCCGCAGAGGAGCAGCGGAGTCCAGGCGATGCTGCTCCTCCAAGGAAGAGACACACGTTCACTAAGCCAAAAAATATATATCCGGTCACAGAGATCTGCTATTTTAAAGTAAAGTCAACACATATCGACCCTAAATATAGTCTATATTAAGAACGAGAAAAGTCTTAACATATATATCGTTTTTTGTAAACATATGACATATGTGCGAGGGTGATGACGTCAGAGCATCGTCCCGGGGCACATAGGACGATTTTTCATTTTCCATTTTTTTCTTCCTGGGTATGGTGACGTAACCATACCCAAATGGACCAATCCGCGGAGCCGTTACGTTGCGTCTGCGGAGCCTTTACGTTAAGTCCGCGGATTGGTCCAAATGGACCAATCAGTGAGCACACACACAGACTCACAGCCAGGCTGCGCGTGTGTGTGTGTGTGTGTGCTCGGGCTGGGTTTCGCTGTGTCTCTCTGTCTCGCCGACCCCACGCAGCAACCAGGAAATCACACCAGTAAGCCAGCTCACACTGTCCGCTCCTCACAGCAGCGAGCCTCGCAAAGTCCCGCCAACACGGCACCCAGACCCCACGCAGCATTCTCATCTGTTTGTCATTACTGGTGTCATTTTCTGGTTGCTAACAAGCGCTATTGTAACACATAAACACTGATGTTCCGCTGTAACGGTGGTGGACTCATCAGAACAGAGTGGGCGAGCTGACCAATCAGAGCACCGTGGGCTCATAGGGAGGGGGGGGCAGGAGATCCAACAAGCCGTTTAGGACAGAGAGTGAATACACATACTATACAGAGATGCTGTATGAGAAACCAATGTGAGTTTGGAACATTGAACAATGTAAATCTATTCTAGTAGACCTCAACAATGGAATTATGATCAGTAGAAATGGCCATGACATGGGACCTTTAAATGATTCGTACAGGGAACCAAATCTGTGATCATCAGGTTCCTCAGACAGACCGAGCTGCTATTGATCATCTTGTCCACATTTCATGACGATTAAAATGATATTTCAGGTATCGTGGCTTTAATGATCGATTTAGTGAAACATTAATGATAAAGCATGCGGCCCAGTGTAATGGTTGTGTGTCACAGCTGAGGATTCACTTTACAACACACACAGTCTGTGGAACTGTGTTTGAACTCTGCTGTCTTTTTCACTCATAGATCTGCACACTAGTGGAGGGAGCAGAAGTATTCATGTGTGAGCAGGTGATCAAATCAGCTGAGATCTCTCTAACACAGCCATGTGTTGGCATGGCTTCATTAATGAGATGCAATGAGTAGCTGTGCACAGCTTTCCTTTGGAGTGAACCAAAGAGTTAATTGTCCTTTTTCCAGGGCGAACACACTGTCTACTCAAAACCTGCACACATTGTTGCAGGTTCAATTAAAACACAGATTGATAAATATTTGAATCCCATTAGATGTATTAATCCCCAGAGGTGTCGCCCTGCACAGAGGTGGGAAAAGTACTCGGGTGCAGCTAGCTTGAATGACTTTGTATACTGCAGGGTAGCTTGTGAATTGACTCCAGGTGGAACTAAAGTCTGATTTAACACTTGATTATATTTCACATCATTCATCCAGATCTGTAAAGTAACTAAAGGGATTAAATACATGTAGTGGAGTAAAAGTACAGGATTTACCTCTGAATTGTAGTGGGGTTGAAGTACAAAGTAGCATCAAATGGAAATACTCAAGTAAAGTACAAGTATCTCAACATTTTACTTAAATACAGTACTTGAGTAAATGTACTTAGTTACTTTCCACCTCTGCTGCACGTCCCTGATGAGAGTTGATGCAGCTTGTTGTTGTTTATTGAAGGTTGAATAATGACCTGCTGCCTGCTGATGCATGCAGTGGTTCTGTCCTCTCTCTGGCTGACACACACTGACTGTCTCCCCTCTGTCCCCAGGTGGCCCCATGTGTACCTGGGGCTGACCACCATGGGCCAGAACATGTCCGTCCCCAACCTGCAGCGGGCCCTCAGCCAGGCGCTGGCTGCGGGGCCCCCAAGCTCTCCCTCCAGCGGGTCAGCAGGCTCTCACCAGCCTGTGGTCACAGCAGAGCTCATGGTCCACCCGGGGTACCCCAGTCTCCCCCAGGAGGGGGGCTGTGGGGAGGGCCCCGACGAATTCTCCCAGTCCGCTGACAGACAGCACGAGCTGGGCGTGCTGAGGGACCCCGCCCTGCTGGCCCTCTACCGCCGGGAGGGGGTGCAGCTGTGTGCCTTCAGACACCTCTGAGCACTGTGGATCCTATAGAGACACAGTGGTTAGAGCACAAATCACTCTCAATCTGCTCGGACTAGCAGTATGTGATGTGGGGGGGTGAGGATTTTACTCCAGACGTGGTTTTTATAATAGCATATCTTATCTTGTTATTAAAACATTTCCTAAAAGCACAGAAATATGTGCACTGCCACGCTGTTAAAGCTTTATGAATTCAAATTCTAACTAATCAGTCACTAATTATGTTACTAATAATGAAGGAACGCAGAGGTTGGACTGAGTTATAGACTTTCACTTTCTATAGATCCTTACAGTTGAGAACAAAACTGGTATCTGATGTTTCTCTCTCTAATCTTAAAGACAACGTGTCATTTTTAATCTCTAATTCTTACATTCGTAGAGCCCTCGGAGCAGCTTTAGCACAGATTCTGGGCTCAGGGGGGGCTCACCGGGGTTGTGCTATCATGCAATAAGGGGTATTTAGCTCAGAAAGAGATTCAATAATCTGGATCAGCTGTTGCTTTGTCGTCGTCGTCCTGGACCTCTGTCTCTGACCTCTCTGTCGTGATGTCACCAGATATCAGTTGCGGAATGAAACTTCAGAAATAAGTTGTAATTAACGTTACAACCCACAAAAGGAGGATTTTTATAACAATCTGTCAACCCATTTGATCTTTTATTGTTAAAAACATTCTTTTTTCAGGGCTGCACACGATGAGTAATTGATATGCAATTAATCGTTTTGTGGATGAAGTATCTTCAGAGTATAGTTTGAGTCTTAGTTTTGTGCTCATGTGTATTCCTCAGTAAATGAAGCCATGTTGTCGTTGAAATGATTCCTAATGAACTCAGGTCTGTAGCACTGAACATCTGATAACCTGCCAAATGTTGGACTCTAAGTGAATGTGATTGAACATGCACCTGTAACAGTACGCTTTGTAATATTTATAGCTTTTTATCTGGATATTTGAAATTGTATATTTTGATAAAGTTTATGTTAAAACTTTTTTTACATTGCTGTGTTTAAATTGTTACAGAGATAACAACTGAACAGCTGAGCGAATAAATGATGTCAAACCGATATCTGATGTTTCAACATGTCATTTTCTATCTCTAATTCTTACATGTTTAGAAGCCCTCAGAGCAGCTTTAGCACATATTCTCCAAACCTACATAACAGACAACACAGTCTCACGGCATGTCGTGTTATAGTCACGAAATTAATCTATTGATTCGTGCCTGCACCAAATAATAACAAATTAGAAGGAAAAAAAGATGACAAAAAATACAGATTTCCGTATTCTGAGGCTCTGAGACATTTCTTTTCCTCGCGGACAGCAAATAAACTCCGACATTATACAATTTAAAATAAAATGGATTGGGTTAGGCTTAGGGTAAGATATTGAGTAAGAAAATGTTTTTATGAACCACACAGCTTCTGGTCTTCCAAGACCCGACCGGACAAAAAGACGTGGTGCAGGCACGAAACATACTACTAATAGTAATACATTCCTTTTAAAATCGTTCTGTGTGACACAAAAAACACGAATCAATAGATTAAATTAATTTCATGAATACGATACGATACGATACGATATTACTTTATTTGTCAGATCAAGTCTGAAATTTGACTTGCGTCACAGCAGCTCCATGTCCAACATCAACAGACAAATATCCAGACACAAATACATGAAACACAAACAACAAACATTTAACATAACAGCACAATCAGTGAGAGAAAAGCTGCTCAAAGAGCCTTCAGCGTGCATTTGATCTGCATTCAGCTCTGTATTTACTGTGAGGATTGACTGATGCACAAAGGAGTGCTTCAGTCTGACTTTATTGAATCCTGGGACCCTGTATCTCCCATTAGATGGTAGCAGTTCATATTCACTGTTCAGAACATGCTTTGGGTCAGAGATGATGTTGTTGGACAGCCTCACTAGGTTGTTATGATAGGCTGAGTCATAGAGTCTCTGACAGGGTTGACCAACAATCTTTGAGCAGATTTTTAACAGGTGGAGCAGTTTTGATTTGAAAGCTGCTGACAAACATTTGTACCAGGTAGTAGTGCAGTACTGTAGAATGGACATGATCACAGATGTAAAGAACAACAGAAGAATTTCTCTGCTCGCCCCAAAAGACCTAAGACGGCGGAGAAAATAAATTCTTTGTTTTGTCCTTTTGCACAGATATTCAATGTGATCCTTCCATGACAGCAGATGGTCAATCATTACACCCAAGTATTTGTATGAAACTCCCTGCTTGATTTCATCTGTATGGGGACTTTATGGGAGTCAGATGGTGAGCCAAAAATGATTTCCTCAGTTGTCTTGGTGTTGATCTCAAGAGCATTGCTATCAGTCCACTCGACCACCTGATTTACAGCCTGTTGGTGCAGCTCAGGGTCGTCTGTGTTACTGAGCAGAGATATTATTGCAGTATCATCGGAGTAGGCTACTTAATGATGACTTGATTTGGTGTGTGACTGTAACACGAAATGCCGTGAGACTGGGTTGTAACAGATGATCATTTTTCATTATATTCGTATTCTTGTTACATTGTTTTAATACTAATCAGACATACAGTAGTTGGAGAAACAAAATATATCACCGGCTGCTGGACTTACAGGAATGCAATGTCCAGAAAATCAGTGCAATGAAAAGTCTTATTTTGGTAGTTTTTTCATTATCATCCTCACACAGAATGCAGGGGGGTGTGGTCATTTCTTAGCAGCTGGATTGATCTTGTGTGCAGTGAGCTCTGTCACTAAGATGTCATCTAGACTCACGGTCCACCTCCTGGCCTTTCGTGACCATGTCATAACGTATAAGGAAGCTCTCTCCCATGCCAAGACTCACTACTACTCCCGTCTCATCGGTGCCCAGCAAAGAAACCCCAGAACACTGTTCTCCACCATCAACCGCCTACTCCGCCCCCCTGACGCCCCCCAGCCCTCAGGTGCTCCAAATTCATCGACTTCTTCCAGGCGAAAGTCGAGGCCATGCACCAGCAGCTCCTGGCGAATGGCCCTCCCCCCCTGCCTGCACCTCAGCTACCTGGTAACGCACCCCAAGCGCTGCGCCTCTCCCACTCCAACCTCTCCTCCTTCTCCCCTGTGGATGCTCTCCAAGTGGCCAAACTGGTCAGCTCGGCCAAGACCTCCACCTGCTCCCTGGACCCCATGCCCACAGCCCTGGTCAAGGACTGCCTACCCACCCTCTGTCCCTACATGGTGGTCATCATCAACGCTTCTCTGGCTCCTGGTATAGTCCCCACCAGCTTCAAAATGGCCTCAGTCACCCCCATACTCAAAAAACCCGGCCTGGACCCCGACGACCTCCAGAACCACCGGCCGATCTCCAACCTTCCCTTCCTAAGCAAAACTCTGGAAAGAGTGGTCGCCGGCCAACTCCATCTGTACATGTCCAACCATGAGCTCTATGGGCCCTTCCAATCCGGCTTCAGACAGCAACACAGCACTGAGACGGCCCTCATCAAGATCACCAACGATCTCCTCATTGCTGCTGACTGGCCGCCTCAGCATCCTCATCCTCCTGGACCTCTCTGCAGCGTTTGACACCATCTCTCACAACATCCTCCTCACCCGCCTCTCAGACCTCCTAGGTGTCACTGGCACAGCGCTGTCCTGGTTCACATCCTACCTCCATAACAGGAAACAGTTTGTCTCCATCAGTGGCTCAAACTCACCCCCGGCCCCAGTCCACCACGGTGTACCCCAGGGCTCTGTGCTTGGCCCCCTCCTGTTCACCATTTACATGCTCCCCCTCGGCCAGATCATCCGACATCATGGGCTCAATTTCCACTGTTACGCTGATGATACCCAACTGTATCTCAGCACCACTCCATCCTCCCAGCTCCCCCCTCAGTCCCTCATCAACTGCCTGCATGACATCAAAGCATGGATGTCTTCCAACTATCTCAAACTAAACAGCAAGAAAACAGAGCTCATGGTTGTGGCACCCAAGGCCCTGCTCCAGAAGGTTGGTGACTTCATCCTCGAGGTCGACGGCTGCTCCATCTCCCCATCTCCTGAAGCCCGCAACCTGGGTGTCATCCTTGACTCCACCCTTTCCTTCCATTCCCACGTCAAATCTGTGACCAAATCGGCCTTTTTCCACCTGAGGAACATTGCCAGACTCCGACCGTCACTTTCGGAGTCGGTTGCCGAAACCCTAATACATGCATTGTCACCACCCGCTTGGACTACTGCAATGGTGTCCTGTTCGGGGTTCCCAAAAAAAAACCTGGACAGGCTCCAGTATGTCCAAAACTGTGCTGCTAGGGTACTCACACACACAAAGCCCTGGCAGCACATCACTCCCACCCTCATCCACCTCCACTGGCTGCCGGTCAAGTCCTGTATATCTTACAAAGTACTCCTCCTCACCTACAAGTCCCTCCATGCCCTTGCCCCCCAGTACCTATCGGACATCCTTCACCCACATGCCCCACCCCGGAACCTGCGGTCCTCAGACTCTGGCCTGCTCACCACCCCCCGCACCAAACTGCGAACCTTCGGGGACAGAGCCTACAGTGTGGCAGCCCCCACCCTCTGGAACGCTCTCCCTGCGGAGATTCGCAACATCCCCACACTCTACGCCTTCAAAAGGGCCCTCAAGTCCCATCTGTTTGCCAAGGCTTTCGGCCCCTAATCGATCTGTTGTTTTGTCTGTCTGACTTTTGTTTTGTTATGTTTGTTTTTGCCCTATTACTGTACAGCGACCTTGGGTCCCTTGAAAGGCGCTATATAAATGCAAGCTATTATTATTATTAGACTGTAAACGTGATAGTGCCTCACTTTGAGACTTCATTTTTTAAGACAGCTCGCTTAAGTTTGTTTCTTTTACAATCACACTTTTTAGTTTAGTTTTTCAGGAATGAACTGTCCAATGTCAGCAACTGTTGTATGTTGTTGGTGGGTGAGAAACACTGCTCCTCTTTGACATGCACTCTTCCCTAGCCTGACTTGGCTCTTCACAGAATATTCCTGAGAATAGAATCTTTCTAATTACTGTAGATTTAATAATATCCTGAGTTATTCTGTCCTGTGCTTGCCACTCTGGGTCTGGATAGTACTGGAAAAGGAAACACTTACTTAGCAGGGTAGGTTTAATTACACAATCCAAAGTAATGTAACCTGATTACTTTTCATTACTCTTGAATTACCTCAATATCAAATGCAATGCAAATAAAGACAAGAGGAGATAAATAGCAATAAGATGTTTTGTATGATGTAAGACATGGAAAAATGTAAACATTGAAAAAGAAGAACCCAAGATATTTAGGATCAAAAATGATTTTATTTATAAGAAAACCTGCCTGTCACTCAGCATATTCAGGCAGCAGCCAAAACACCAACACTGAAACACATGAGCACATACTACAGTTTAAAAAAGCAGAAATAAAATCTGAGCTGACAGAAAATGCTCCGTTTTAGTTTAATGCACACAGTTAAGATCACACACACTATTTTATGAACATATAGGTTCACCTGCTGAATTAAGAACAGAACAAATGAAGCAAAGAAAGTGAAAACCATAAAGCAGATTCAGGCAGTAGGCGTATAGATTAGATTCACACTTAAAGTATTAGCCTACAGTTTACAGAGAAGAGATAACATCTGATTCTTTACAACAAACACTAGGCTATATGATCTGTTTAGGTTTCAGTAACATTGTAATCCTGATAGTAATCCACACATTGAATGAATGTAACAGTAATCTGATTACATATTTTTTTAATGTAACTGTATGGGAATGCAGTTCCTACTGATGGTGCTGAAAGAGATGGAGCTACCTGACAGACACCAACCCCCCCTGGTGGAGCATGGATGTATAATAAGAACTGGATACAGCGTGGGAGGCGGGGCCTCGTTCATTCCTATGAGAGTTGCTCATTGGCGCATGAAGACAAAATGGCCCAACTTTTGAGAGAGCGAAACGTCACGAAAGTATTCATATAATCATATAATCCGTTCTTATTGTGCATCCATGGGTAAGATAAACGCATGTAGTGCTGAACACGTAACATGAACGTGCCGGGCGGCGCGGG